CTTTTTTTTTTTAAAGACTGTTTCGAGATGTAATTCATCTATCATACTACTCGTTTTAAGTGTAATATTCAGTCATTTTTAGTATCTTCACCAATTCATCCAAGCATCACAGTTCATTTTGGGACGTTTTCATCAGCTGAGAAAGAAAACCCGTAATCTTCGGTAGGTATTGGGTCCCTATTCCCACCTCCGCCCCCAGTCACCCACAGACCCGGTGTCTGCCCCTGTAGGTCATTCGTGTTCTGGGCTTTTCGTGGGAGTGGAATCACGCACTGTGTGGCCTTTTATGTCTCGTGTCCGTCACTCAGCGTGATGTTTCAGCATCATGTGTAAAACGGTTACTGGTGTTTTGGGGGCCCGAGTGCCCACCCACACAAGGTTGTCTAGTCCCACATCCTCGGGGCCCACATGTGTCTCAGGGTCCTGCTGGCAGGCACCCTGCAGGGCAGAGGGGTCCCTCTGGACCAGTTGGGACCGGGCTGAGTGAGCCGAGTTACTGAGTCAGCCAGGTGTCACCAGATGAATGGGAAGGTCTGTCACCAGATGAATGGAATCCTTGAATTCGAAAATAGCGGCAAGTTTTTACAAAAACCTATTTAACAGTCAGGATAATAAAATAACCAACAACTAACAACGCTTGAACTTCACCTCCTTAACTTTTTGTCTGACGCTCACCCTGACCCCAGGAACCTGAAGCTGGGAGAGGCTCCGTGGCTTGTCGTGGGTCACTCTGTAGGTGACGGCCACCCCATAAGGTGCTCTGTCCCCCATACCTTGCTTCCTCTGTGTCTCAGCCAGTGAGTGACCCTCAAGGATGAAACGCCCACTGGGCATTCCTGGGATTCGCTGGCCAACCCCCTGAGCTCCCCTCCTCCCTGCCCTGCCCCTCTCCCTCCCTCCAGGTCCAGCCTCCCCGCTGCCTCTGTCGGGAACTCTCCGAAGGTCACCTATCTGTCTCATTTGTGCTTTAGTAAGAACCTCGGGGGCACCCCCTCTTCCTGTTGTATCAGCCCTTTTCACTCCCAGACAGGCTGACAGACCATAAATAAGAGAGGTGCCTGGCTGTGAAATGCGCCAGTGAGATCCATGAAAAATGACAGCAGCTTCATTTGCAAAGCTTGGCTGTGTCGTTCCTGGCGACCCGGGTGCCGAGGGCCGTTCCAGAAATAAATCTGTCAGCCCTCCCAAGACGTCGGGGTCAGAGAACTCATCGGGAGGTTTCCAGACTTTTTCTTAGAATTAATCACGAATTCAGTGAAATACTGGTGGAAAAGATTTATTTGGTGTCTGTTTCCCTGGGTCACTGAAGGGTTATTTGACGTGATAAGGGGTGTTTTCCCGCCAAGTACAGTCTCTGTCCTCCTTTCCCCTGGGGAAGCGCTCTCCCCGTTTATATTAGTTCCTTTCTTCATTAATTCCAAGGGCCAGACGTGACCATCTGAGACAGTTCCTTGCCTCTTTTGAGGCGTGGGAGAGCAGACTAGATAAGGAGAGCTGGGCTTTGTCCAGCTGATAAGAGGAAGGAAGGGACCCCTCGACGCCAAGAGCAACCCTCCCAAGTCTAGAGGCCATGGATGCGACCCAGCCCTGGCTGCTGGCCCTGGGCATGGCGAGATGTGAACTTGCCCGAGGGGAACTTGGCTCCTGTGTGCTAATATAGTTCTGGGTGAAGAAGGAAAGGGAAAAGGACCGTTCTGAGCTTTTCTGATGGCTGCTTTTGATGAGTTGATTAGCCTTGAAGCCGGAAGAGCCTTCTTGGAGGGCCATCTGGGGCGTGTCCTTCTGGGCAGTGAATCCCCGTTGTGTGTGACTGCGTGCCCAGCACTCACTCGGCCACAGGGCAGGCCTGTGAACCAGGGCCTGGGACTGTGCCCTGCTGGGCTCTTCAGTGGAGTCCTTGGTGGGTGGGGGCCGTGGGGGCACTCCACCCCCACTGTGGATCTCAGGCCAGCGACAAGTAGTTTAGGCCACCTCGGTGTCCCTGGCTGCTGGCTGGTGAGAGTCTATCTATGGTTTGTAGTCTATTCATAGTTTTGTAAACCTGTTTTTTTTTTCTCTTTGCATTGCCAGTTTTATGACTTCCTATTTTTGTAGAAAATCGTCTGGTTTTTTTTCCCCCCAGGTTTTCAGATTCACTGGCACAAAGTTGCTGCTTGCATGTTCTTCTCTTTTCTCACCCCCTCATGCCTGATGCTGTGAGGCTGATGTTAACTTTTTTGCCCATCTCCTAAGAACATGTCCTGAGCTGCAGACCCCCAGCCTGGAGGCTCAGAGGCCTCGGTGAGAAAGGTGTGTGTCCTGACAGCTCCGGCTGGGGCCTGGCTGGCCAGAAACACACTCCTGCTTGGTCTTTGGTTCTGAGACTCTATCGGTTCCGAGATTTTTGTTTGGCTTTGAGAGAACTCCACATTCCACATTTATGCGACCATTCTTGTACATTTTCCTCTATTTTCACTGTTTTTATTTAGAATCTTAGTCAAGTATATTTAAGTCTTACACATCTGGAGACGATCATAGATGAATACCCTACTTTGCCAGTCTCCCTTTTAACGTAAACTCTCTCTCTCCTACCGAATTGAAGTGCTGTAATTTTCATTTACTCGTTTCGTGCAGATTATTGGTTTGGTTTCTGAAACTATTCTCTTTCATTGAACTCTTTAGCTATTTTTAAGCTGTTAACTTAATGTATTTTCCTAAATCCTCACACAAGAATATAGTTATTGATTTTAGAGAGACAGGTAGGGACAGAGAGAGAGAGAGAGAAACATCGATGGGATGCCTGCCATCTGCACCCCAAACGGAGGCTGAGCCCACAGCCCAAGCCTGTGTTCTGACCGGGAATCACACCCACACCCGCTGGTTGTCGGGACGACACTCCAGCTGAATAAACCGCCTGGCCAAGGTGGTCGGTCTCGAAAATAAATTCACTATCAGTTAAGGCGTCTGCTCCTTCCATTATCATTCTTTTCCAAATTTTCTGAATTGTAATAACTTATTCTTCCATAGCTTCTTTAACATAATTTCGCCCAGTGCCGTCTACTCTGTTGGCATGTGACGGGAGTACCGGCCCAGGGCGCGTTCCCCGGGAAGGGCCGCCGTGTCTGGGACCATAGCTTTTCTCGGGGGAGCAGTCAGCATGCCTCCCAATTCAGGCAGCGTTCTCAGTTGTGAAGAAACCCAATTCGAGGTAGCTTTCACCTAGAAGGGGTGGTCCTAGGACCCCCGGGAGCTCACAGAGTCTGCAGGATGGCCGAATGTGGGGGCCGCACAGCCAGGAAAGGAGAGGCGGCCCAGGTCACAGCCCAGAACTGCTTTGAGAGAGGCCCCGTCCTCACCTCGGGGCTGAGGCCCAGCCCCGTGTGCGGCTGACGCCCAGCCCAGTGTGCGGCTGACCCCGTCTGTAGGCACTGGCCCCCGAACCCCGGTGCCTGTGCAGGCCCACCTCCTTGTGCTTGGCCTCCAGCCCATACACTTCTCTTCCTCAGACTGTGGTGCCCACCCCCCACTCACTCAAACACATGTAGAAATCCAGAAATAAAATCAGAATGATTTTAGGCGGTTGAATTAAAAGAGCAGAAATGAGGCATAAGGGGGTGGGGGAACCCACAAAATACTGAAATTATCCTCTGGCGGGTGAGCCTCTTGCAGGACAGGCTTCCCCCACTAGGTGAGTGCTCTAGGCACCCGCTGGCGTTGTTGTGAGAGGCTGCGTTCGGCTTCAGTAGATACTTTTTGAAGGCGCAGCACATTTGCTCCTTTCACGATGGGTGATTTACGAGTGCGCTTGCCCACACTGTGCTGAGTGTTCGGTAGTTTTTCACCAAAAATGGCATAACGCTCATGCCTCACCCTCCCTATTCACCTGAACTTTCCCTGGGTGACTTTTTTGTTTCCGTGGATGAAAAAGTCCTCAAAGTGAAACATTTTGCTGATGTGGAAAAGGTGAAACAAAAAGTGCCCAAAGCACTAAAACACTTAAAACTGACAAAGTTCAAAACTGTTTCGAGCAGTGAGAAAACTGTCTTGATACGTGCACTACGTCAGATGGAGAGCACGTTGAAGGCGACTGACATTTAAACAGGCGAGAATGAACCCTGGCCGGTAGCTCAGTGGATTGAGTACGGGCCTGTGAACCAGAGGGGAAGGGAAGGGGAACGGGAGAGAAACATCCGTATGTGGTTGCCTCTTGAGCACCCCCTACTGGGGACCTGGCCCACAACCTGGGCCTGTGCCCTGACTGGGAATCGAACCGGCAACACTTTGGTTTGAAGGCCGATGCTCAGTCCACTGAGCCACACCAGCCAGGGCCTGAATTGCTTTTTTTTTTTTAATCTTTCCAAGCTTTTAAATTTTTCATGGCACTTTTCTTTCTTCAGCATTTTTGAATGCCTACAGCTCATGGACACCGTAAATACCGAGATGTGGTGGCTGTGGTGGCTGCCCTCCGGAGGCCCGGGGGGCACAAGCAAGTGCAGCTGGAGAGAGCAGACGTCTCTAGTGGAGGCGGGCAGCCCTGGAGAGGGAGTGCTAGACAAAGCCTGGCATGGCACGGGGTTGGGTCCTGCCGGATGCACAGGAGTTTGACAGGCGGTGCAGCGGGGCAGGAGATGGCTGACCCTGGGAGCAGAAGGTGCCAGGGCGCAGAGCCAGGATAACACATTTTTGTGTGCCTCTCGGTGTGAGGAACTTTCTGTTCCTGGACTTCGGTCTCTTTCTGTAGTGCATCCGTAATCTGGTACAACAGTCTAGCTTAGCTTTCTTCTAATTTATTGATTTTTTCTTTTGTATCAGTTGCTTTTAAAACAGGAGTTTGGAGGCGTTCCTCCCGGCGTTTTCCATGGCTTTGTCAACAACCACAAAAGTCAGTTGGGCTTTACAACGTAAACGGAATGGGGATGCTTTGAGCTGAGGTGTGGGCACCTGTGCGCCCCTGCGTGGCTCAAGGGCACCCGCCGGGGCAGGATGCTGTTTTAACTGTGGGCTCTGTGTTCTCTGTCCAGATTAAGTTTGACAGTGTCGAGGTGTGTGTCTGCTGCGAGACGCAGCACCAGTCGGCCGGCTGCAGCAACCTGGGGGAGACGCTGAAGCTGAACCCGCTGCGGGAGGACTGCAACGCCGTGAGGCTGACCCTCAAGGTGACGGCCATGGGCCCTGCCCCCCGGAGTATCTCCCGGGCATTGCAGACAGGGGGGGGGGGGCGGTGATTCATGTCCGTGCTCCTTTCAGTGGCGGGGGAGGGGGAATCTCTCTCCAGGAAGCATTTCTGCAGAAGTGTAGCTTTTCCACTCGCAGGGCATCGTTTTTGCTGGGTCTGGTTTTCCATTTTCCCCACGTCACGGTCCCGCCTCTGACGTGTGTGCAGTGGGCTCTGAGTGGGTAGAAAAGTCTCTGCGGACGTGGCTGAGACGGACTCCACGGCCTTTCTCACGTTTTTGCCGTCCCACCACCACCTGGGAGCAGACGGCTGTTGATTTCGCCATTTCAAAAAAATCTGGAGATTGAAATGGTGCAGTTTTCCCTGGCAACCTGGTCTTATGTACAGCGTCTGATTTTTTAAAAATTTTCTTACTTCTTCTTTTTTGTTTCTTTGATTTTTTCTAATGCAATAGAAAATTGTGTATATTATTCCTTTCTTTCTCTTTCTCCAAGTGTTTCTCTTTTTAACTCCTGAACATCACAGTCGACTGCTTGAAAATGCATATGAACCGGGGGCCCAATTTTTCTTTTCCCTAGATGAACGTGCACTCCACTTGTTTTAAAAAGGTGTGGCTGCGGTCACATGTCAGGAGCTCTGTCACACGTGTGTGGGGAATGCAGTGTCTGGGGGACTGGGGCCCCCAGAGAGCCACCCTGGGGTCTGGGGAGAGAGGAGGACGGGTTTGCCTTCTGTCCTTGGATTTGTGTGGCAGGCCCTCCATTGGTGTGACTGGCAAGGGGGAGCGCTTGGTTCCAGTGAGCTTCCTGCTCACTCCAGCACGCTGCGAGACCTGTCGGCCAATCGGCTGCGAGACCCGTCGGCCAATCGGCTTCGAGACCTGTCGGCCAATCGGCTTCGAGACCCGTCGGCCAATCGGCAGTGATGTACAGAGGCAGAGAACGTGGCTGAAGTTCCGGGTGACCATGGTCATCCTGCCTTGCTTCTCAGGGAGGGGCAGTCCTAACTCAGTGGCCCCGGCAGCCCACCCCAGTCGGGCACAGCAGGGTCTGAGGGCCTCAGAGGGCAGCACGTAGGGGCCCACTCTCTTCCATGCAAGCTGGTTCCTGATGTCCCACAGCCTGGGATTCTAGCCTTCTGCACCCTGGGCCTGCTCATGGCCAGTGCCCGGGGCCCACCCCGAGCTCTCATTCTGACAACTCTGGAGTCACGTGCTCAACGGGACCACCTCTCCATCTGTGAAAGCACTACCAGACGACAGGTCGTTGTAATTGGAGTGCAACCACTACCCCTTGAAAAACGTCTGACACCCCCTCCCCCCCACCCCAGGAACCTCACAGCTCTGCAGACCCATGTGGTTGAAGCCATGTGCTGCACTCTTGTTCCTGGCTTCCTGGGAGTTTCTGTCATGAAGGGCTGTCGGATTTGTCAGAGGAGTTTCTCATGTGCTCAGATACTCATACAGCTTTTCCTCCTTCAGTCTGCTGGCCCAGGAATCCCGCTGGTCACTTTTGAATGGTGAACCAGCCTTGCATTCAAAGACGAACCCCCCTTGGTCATCTTTCCCCAGCGGGGTCAAGTCTACGGAGGAGCCCGTCAAAGACGCATTTCCTCTCTGTGGCTGTGCTTTTGATTCCCAGCATTTCTCTTTGGTTCTCCCTCCTGCCTCCGTGTCTTTGCTCAATCACTAGTAGGGGCTTGTGCGTCGTCTGCCTTTGGCGCTAGAGCTGGTGTCTGACTGTGTCTGCCCTAAGTGGGCAGGTCCTCATGTCTGTCCACAGGGGTGTCTGTCCTTCCTTAGAATTGGGGGTAGTTGGTTGCGCTATAACTTCAGCTGATGGGTTCGTTATCAGTGCCTCTGAGATTTTCATAGATCCAAGTGCCACACTCGCTAGTTTTCTAATAATTAGTGGTGAAGACATTTGAATGGAATCATTGCTCTGAAACTTACTTGAGCCAAGCCGTCCCCGCAGTAACGGGGGACCTGGCAATGCTTCTTGGTATTAAAACTCAGGGCACACACACTGCTCCTCCACTGGGCAGATCCCCAGGCAGCCCCTTTCCTGCAGCTCGTAAATGTCCTTGACACTTCACAGAAGAGGGCGCAGAGGGTAATGACCCTTGGGTTAGGTTCCCTTGCTTGCTCTTTTGGGTCAAGTGCTAAAGCATGTTCGTCAGTCTCTTAATGGTCTCATCCGAGGCTCTAGAGCTATTCCGTGCCTAATTTCCGTCTGGAGTTATGAATTACCCACGCTCTGTGTCTCACAGACGCTGTGCCGGGGAAAGCCCTTGGGATGGGCTGGGAATCAGACCTCTTTGACTCTAGTTGTATTTCGATTGAGTTACTGGAGGACATTGGAGGGTGCGCCCTGCACCGTGTTCCTGTTACACCCACCGCTCTCCCACGCCCTCGCCCGCGGAAACCCGGAGGGTCGTGCAGGCGCCGGCTCTCCTGGGGGAAAACGGCTGCAGGCCGTCTGGGGGCTCGTCTCCGCAGCGCCCTCCCTGGCTGCGCCCACCTCCGTCTGCGCAGGTGGACACCCCCAGGGGGTCCTTGGGCAGCCCCTGGGCCCGGGGTTCAACAGGAGAGGTGCGGAGCGGCGGCTGGATTAATGACTCATCAGTGACAGCCCTGCATAATCAAAGCCGCATCAATAAATACCGACAGGGCAGTCATTTGCTGTTTGGACCCAGTTCCTGAAGTTCGGCGCGGCCCCTGGCCTGGGACTGAGTGTGTTTAGAGGGCCAGCCAGCCGGTTCCGGTTTCCTTTCAGGCTCACACCAAGTGGGCCTTCGATCCCCACGCAGAAGAGGCGCATGAGGGGAGGCTCTGTGAGTGGAGACCCCGCACCGCTCTCTGCCCGCTCGGGGACCATGTGGGTCTGAGAGGAAGCACAGTGAGGGGAGCCCATGGCGGTCAAGTGTACATTCCCCGTAGCCCTGCGTGAGGGCCCCTTCGCACACCTCGGTCGCTATTGGTTTCCCAGCCTTCACCTTCACGGTTCTAGAGGATGAGAGCACTTAAGAGACTCTGTAAAAATGGCTGTCCAGTAAGAGTGCAGTACAGCGTCTTAAATCTGCAGAGCCACTGGTTTTTGTCTTTCTGAAAAAAGTTTTCTGCCCTGGCCAAGTGGCTCAGTTGGTTGAAGTGTTGCCCCAAGCACCAAAAGGTTGCAGGTTCGATCCCCAGTTAGGGCATTTATGGGAGGCAGCCTATTGATGTTTCTTATAACAGTGTTTCTCTCTCTTTCTCTCTTCCCCCCTTTTTCCCTCTCTCAAAAAAGATCAATAAACATGTCCTTGGATGAGGATTACCAAAAAATTTAAATCATTAATTTCACGAGAAAACAATTTATGACCCATTGTTATTCTCACCAATGGCTAATTGCGTTGGAGCACTGGAGACCTTTATTTTATTTTATTTTTATTTTTATTTTATTTTTTATTTTATTTTATATATATATATTTTAAGATTTTATTTATTTTTAGAGAGAGGGGAAAGAGGGAGAGAGCAATATCGATGTGATGTGCAAGAAATATATTAATCTATTGCCTCTCATGCGCCCCCTACTGGAGACCTGGTCCCCAACCCAGGCATATGCCCTGACTGGGAACCGAACCGGCAACGCTTTCAGTTTGTAGGCCAGAGTTCCATCCACTGAGCCACAGCAGCCAGGACTGCAGACCTTTCATAAGCACCCAGTCACCTCCTACCGGCTGCCCCTCGCTCTGCCTTCATGGGTGTGGGGTCCCGGGGCCTCTCAGAGCTCCCGCCCCGGTGCCCTGAGTCCTTGACATCCCTCCGTCGCTGCTGCTGGCTGCGCCGGGCACCTCTCCTTCCTTAGGGATGCTGCTGGGGCGGTTTCTCTGACCTTCTGGTCACTTTCAGTTCTTGACATTGACGTTTGTCCCACTCAGAGCTGCGGTCCACGTGCAGTTGAGGTGCTTCCTTCCCGGGGAGAGGGGCCACGGTCCCACTTTCCTCTTTCACCCCTCGCATCTGTGGGGGGAGGTCTGGGGCACTTCTGTGCCCTCCCCCCAGGTCTCGTCCCTCTGGGGCAAGGGCAGGTGGAGAGAGGAGAAAGGTAGCCTCGTTCTTCTTCTGTCCGGGCTGGGGCTGTCCTGCCTGCCCCGACCCAGGTAATACTCCGGCTCTCGCCTGGCGTCGGTGTAGACGGTGCAGCTGATTGATTTCCCAGGAGTCAGCAGCATCCCGACTCCTCCTTTACTCAGAGGCACAGCAGTCTGTGCCCGAATCCCCACCCCAGTTCTCTGTGGCTTACCAGGTCGTGGCATGCTGAGTTCTGCACCAGGGGCAAGTAGTTTCTTTGGTCTTAAATAAACTGGATAGAACTGGCCCTGGCCAGTCTCCTCGGTCGGTTGGCGAGTCGTGCTGTAAACCGGAAGGTCGTGGGTTTGGTCCCTGGTCGGGGTGCCTGCAAGAGGCAGCCAGTTGATGTCTCTGTCTCTCATTGGTGTTTCCCTCTGTCCTGCTTTGTCTCTCCCTCCCTCCCCCCCCTCCGCCCCCTAAAATCAGTCAGCACGTCCTCAGGAGAGTATTAAAAAGAAAGCAAACAACTTTTTTGAAACTGTAAGAAAATATGTAGTTTGTGAACTACGATTATTCGTAATTCACAGATTATAGTTTAGGTAGTTTACACCCATCAACTAAAGGCTAAGAGCCATTGCTTCAGAGGGCAGGAGACAGGGTCTGAAGGAGCCAGTGAGGCCCAGTTCCGCACCGTTGTGGAGAGAGTGCTAATTTCCCTGTGGGTCTCTCTCGAAGTCCAGCGTGCCATTGAACGTGAGAAGCGCACTTGTTGTGTGAGAAGCTGTCCTCTTGTGTCTGCATCTGGATGATTTACAACGCCTGAGACTCCAAAGGAAGGTCTGAATGGACTTACATTTGCAGAGGTCTGAAGTCGGGAGTTTGTGCTTTGAAATGGTAGCTTCTGCAGATTCCTGTGTGGTTCACGCATCTGCTTCACAGGACAGCCTAGTTTTAGCTCCTTTTGGAGGATCCGTATTCAGGTCAGCTGCGAAGACCTCGGCGTTGCAAGAGCTGCTTTCTGTGGAGACAGATTCCACGGCCTGAAATCTGTCCCAGAAAGTGCTCATCACTTGGGAAATTTGATTGGAAAAAAAACCCGAAGTCACAGATGGAACACACGTACCGGTCCCACTGCCCACTAGAACATTTGTTCAGAGTTCTCATATAGACTTGCTTCTACGCTCCGTCATTTAAGGGTGGTGGTGAGTTTGCTCTGTGTGTGTGGCTGGAAATGTGGAAATTAAGCACATCGTCTCCTTCTAGTCTGAGTTTAAAAGGCAGAAGAGAACAATGAAATATTTCTTTTTATCCTTACCCGCGGATATGCTTCTTGATTTTGAGAGAGGGAGAGAAACATCAACGTGAGAGAGAAACACTGATCAGTTGCCTCCTGTACATGCTCTGACCAGGGCTTGAACTCGCAACCTAGGCCTGTGCCCTGACCAGGAATTGAACCCCCAACTTTTTGGTGTAGGGGACAATGCCGCAACCAGCTGAGCCACCCAGCCAGAGCAACAGTGGAATATTTTATAAATTTTCAAACAGATGTTTACGCATTACTTGTTTTGAGTGAGATATAGTCTACTAGAGAGAATAGCATGAAACTGGGTGTCTGCTCCACATGTCTTCCCAAGCTGGAGATGGAAACATACTGTCGGGCACAGTGTGGAGTCTGAGCTAGTTTACCTGCTTTGAAGCTAATGAACTAGCCTGTTACAGTTCACTGTGACTTCTCTGGCAGAAGGCATGAGACTCCTGGTTCAGAGACAAAAGACTTTTTCTTTCCCATGGAAACACCAGTAGCCAGAGCTTCACGTTGGTTTGTGCCAATTCCCCAGGCCCCTCACATCCCAGGGGATGGTGCAGAGGGCCCCTCCAGGTGCCTGTGGTGTGCTGGGCTGCGGACAGGCAGCGACACTGAGCCCGGGGAGCCTGCCGCCTTGTAGTGAGACTGCCTGTTGTCTGGGAGGCGGTACCTCCTTCCTGAGGTTGCTTGTCGTTGCAAACACAGCCCTGGGAAATGGGCGGGGCGAGGGGCGGACAGGCACACCCTGGTTCTGGGCACATCCGGCAAGAAGTGGCCGGCACGCTTGGGGCCATGGCAGGCTACCTCTCCCCACACAGACCTGCACTGAACGCCAGAGAGCGGTCCACGACCAGTGTCTAACATCACAGGCCCATAATGCAGACGTGCCGCCCTGACCAGTGTGGCTTGGTGGGCTGGGCATCGTCCCATGAACTGAAAGGTCGCGGGCTCCATCTCCAGTCAGGGCCCATGCCCGGGTTGCGGGTTCGATCCCTGATTGTAGGGTGTGCAAGAGGGAACCCATTGACATTTCTCTCTCTCACATCAGTGTTTCTCTCTCCCTCTTTCTTTTTCCCTTCCCCTCTCTATAAAATAAGATAAAATAAATAAATTTTTAGGAAGTTACACCAAAGGCTGGCAAGGATTCAGAAAACCGGGGTCAGTCAGACATTGCTGGCAGGAATGTAAAATGGGCTGCTCTGGAAAACAATTTGGCAGTTTCTTTTTTTAAATTTATTTTTTATTCAATAACGCAGCAGTTTCTTATAAAACTAAGCATGCAGCTCCTGTAGGAGCCAGCAATTGTGCCCATGGACGTTTATCCCAAAGAAATAAAAAGTTACAAAGTTACGGTCACACAAAGACCTGTAAACAAATGTTCATGTCAGCTTTATTTGTAATAAACCCAAACTGTTAAAAAAAAAATCCAGATATTTTTCAACTGGTGAATGATTAAACTATGGTGTATCAACACCATGGAATACTACTCAGCAAGAAAAAGGGCTGAACTTTGCAAAAACTCGGAGGACCCTTGAGGGAATTTGCTGAGTGAAGACATCTAATTCTGGAAGGTTACGTACTGGCTGATTCCACAGGCTACTCTTGAGAGGACAAATTCTAAACATGGAGACCTGACTAATGGTTGACAGGGCTGGGGAAAGAAATTGAGTGGGGAACAGAGAGAGGATAGGAGCATCTAAAAAAGGCAACGAGGTGTGTGTGGAGGGTCCTTGTGCTGATGGACATATTTTGTCTCCTGACCATCTTATTGTCAATCCCAGTTGTGACATCGTGTCACGGTTTTGCAAGGTGCTTCCATCCCGGAGGTGGTGGGAGCAGTGAGCTAAGGGTGCAGAGGGTCTCCTTGTATTATTTCTTACAAGTGCATGTGAATCTTCTGTTATCCCAAGATAAACAGTTTAATTTTTAAAAAACATGGCATTTCTATGAATACTTAACCAAATTTTCAGCTATATTTTGTGTTTCATAAAGATTGCCCGCCTCCTTAAAAAGTAGCCATTTCAAGATTTTGTTATTGTCTGTCTAATAATTACCAAAATTGTAAAATACATCATTTAGGATCTAAGGAGAATTTGATTAGCACTGTAGGAAAAAAATGGTTCTGTATTTAAGGGCAGGTTTTGTTTTTTTTGTTTTACTTACTATTCAATAGATTACTGGGTTTTTATAAACGGCTATCATTCGAGAACCAGATAGAAGAGAAGCCTGGGGCCCCCCCTCCGGCCCCCCCCATGGAAAAGGGGAGGAGCATGGGGAAGGGGCAGAGCGTGGGGAAGGGCGGATCCTTGGGAAGGGGTGGGGCATGGGGAAAGGGGAGGGGCGTGGGGAAGGGGGCAGGGCTTCCATGCCCCTTCTAGGCACTCCTCTTCCCAGTGTCCCAGGTGCCTCAACCCTGAAGCTCTCCCAACCCTGTGCTCGGGCTTTTGCGGAGGTTTTGTTACCTAGGCACGGAAAGGCCAGTTTTGATGACAAAAAAGAAATCACAAAACCAAACCTGCATGATGTGGAGGCAGTTGGCAAACTGATTCTGGACCTTGACAGAAACGCCAGGGATCTGCCGTCTGGGTCTCCACAGCGAAGCTGACCGTCTCCCTCCCGCGTCTTTTCTCCCAGGACCTCCTCTTCAGCGTGTGCGCCCTCAACGTCCTCTCCACCATCGTATGTGCGTTGGCCACGGCCATGTGCTGCATGCAGATGGTCTCCTCCGACGTCCTGCAGATGGTGAGTGGCCCCTTCCCTCCCGAGCATGCGCAGTTCTGCCGCCCTGAGCCTCTGGCGCTCGGAGATCCTGGGAGGTCCTGTCATGCTGCGAACTGGCACATTTAGTGTCGCGCGTGATGTATTCATTTGAGGTGTTGTGGGAGCTTCTTGTTGACGGAGCCCGCCCCCTGGGCGCGTGCCCCAAGTAACCACAGTGACAGCCCGGAAGGCCTAGACATTTTCTGGGCTCTGTTCCATCAGGGCAAGGCTCTTTCCTCAGGCCGCAGTGCCCCTCTGATACAGGAAGGTTGTTTTGAAGATGAAGGCTCCTCGAGTTCAGAAACTGCTAGTCTCTGCTCTTTAGAGACGCTCCTTAACCCTGAGCTCACACCCCAGCGCAGGCTGCTGGTTGGCCACCGTTTGATGCTCCGGCCAGGGTCTCCCAGGGGTAGCAAAGAGGCCGCCCACGGGGTCACACACGTCCCAGTACACGTTTGTAAACACACGCTCAGCAACTAAAGAAGGCCCTTTGTTATTTCAGCAATGACGGAGCACAGCCCACCGTTCAGTATGTTGCCGCCAAAGTCGGCGCAATAAGGAGAATTGATGGAAAGATAGTGTTCTTTAGTGCTGGGGTAGGAATTCTCTCGCTTTCTGCTCTTGTGGTCCCCGGTACTCTTTGTTTTTTCTCATCCACCTGATGGCCATACGTCAGTTCATCGAGATACAGGGCCGGGGCGGGGGTGTCAGGGTCGGGCATCATTACTGAGACGCTGAAACCGCACTGATCCTGTTCATGCACAGCGCGCACCACACAGCTTTCCCTGCCAGGCCGGCCTCCCCGCAGCTCCGGTTCTCCGGGAGGCGTCTCATTAAGCAGCTCCTCAGCAGCAGTGAACCGATGGCCTTGCTCACCGGGGCCCCACGCAGGTGACTTCCTGCAGTGCATAGTGTGAGGAAAGGTTAACTGCCACAGGGTCTCTTCACCTCAGCGGATTTTACTAGCGATCTGTAAATATCATGCCTGTTTGCCAAACTGACAGAACCGGAGCGTTGGAAATGCTAGAAGTTTGCTTCCCCGGGTTTGAAGCTTTAAAATGGAAATTGCCAGCTTAGGAAGAAGAAAGTCTGTCATGGCTACAATAGCGGGTGCAGTTGTAACTGTGTCTGGGTCATTTGGGCCCCAAATCGTGGGTCTGAAACCAGCCACGGTGGGTCAGAGTCCCACCTGTTCTGTGAGGCAGGTCACTCCCTGAACCTGTTCCCTCAGCTGTGATGCGGGCCTAAGGGAATACCCGGCAAGCACTCCGTAAGTGTGACCTATTTTGCTCTTTAATGTGGAGGAAATACCAGTCTGTCATTGGGCCATTGCAACAATGACTGAGTGTCGTGGTCCTTGGTGGCGTTCGTCGACCGTGAGGTGCTATGTGGAAGTGGAGCGTTGTGTATTGTTGTAATTACAACAGCGGCTTCAGGGCCCCAGCTTGTTTCATTGCTACCTACTTTGTAAGTTAGCCCTGGCTGGTGTGGCTCAGTGGGTTGAGTGCCAGCCTGTGAACCAAAGGCTTGCTGATTCGATTCCCAGTCAAGGCACATGCCTGGGTTGCAGGCCAGGTTCCCAGTGGGGGGTGTACAAGAGGCAACCACACATTGATATTTCTCTCCCTCCCTTCCCCCTCTCTAAATAAATATAATCTTTAAAAATAAATAAATAAATACTTACGTAGTTTGCAAAACACTGGCCTGGAAGTAGAAATAATGAGATTTCTGCTGGCAAGTCCCTCTTTCTTTGTGACCATGGACCATGGGACGGGCAGGGCTCTAAGACCCTGGCTATACTGCTGACCTGAAAAGCCACAGGGGGCACAAGAGAGAACCAGCAGCATTGACCATGACCCCGAGTGGGACCGGGCATGACCTTGAGCACATCACTGCCTATCTGTGCCCATTTCCTTGGCTCTAAAAAGACTTTTGCTGCTGTGTGGTCCTCCCAGAGCTTCCGAAAGGATGCTCGAGACAGTAGATGCGATGGGGCTTCGCACAGGTGTGGGGGCCATGTGGAGTCACCGTGTACCACGTGGGTCAGGGGCCAGGCTGGCCTCACAGGCTGCGCCCCAGAAGTGGAACAGCTGACAGCATTACGGTCATGGCCTGAGGGTTGCGACCCAGAATCGAGTGGCCCATAAGGATGCCATTTCTGAGGCATCCTAATTAAAAAGAGAAGCTCTTTTTAATTAAAAAATTTTCCCCAGCTTTATTGAGATGTAATTGACTTTCGTTTCCTTACTTCATTTCGTTAGACTCTTTAATTACAGAAGTAATATACAATCACTGAAACAAGGAAAATAGAGATACAAAGATACAGTTAATATCTCCCTTCTCCCATCCCGTTTTTCTAAAGAAACTTTGCCATGAACCCTCCGGTGTGTTTCCTAATTTCTTTTTTTTTTTTAATTTTTTTTATTGATTATGCCATTACATTTGCTCTATTCCCCCCTCCATTCCCCTCCACCCTGCATACCCCTCCCCCCATTTCCCCCTTTAGTTCATGCACACGTGTCTCAAATTCTTTAGATTCTGTATTTCCCCTACTATTCTTACCCTCCCCCCTATCTATTTTCTATCTACCGTCTATGCTACTTATTTTCTGTACCTTCTCCCCCCTTCTACTCCTCCCACTCCCCTGTTGCTAACCCTCCATGTGATCTTCATTTCTATGGTTCCGCTCCTGATCTAGCTGTCCTCTTAGTTTGCTTTTGTTTTAGGTGTGGTTGTTAATAACTGTGAGCTTGCTGTCCTTTCACTGTTCATCTTTTTTATCTTCTTTTTCTTAGGTAAGTCCCTTTAACATTTCATATAATAAGGGCTTGGTGATGATGAACTCCTTGAATTTGGTCTTATCTGAGAAGCACCTTATCTGTCCTTCCATTCTAAATGAAAGCTTTGCTGGATAGAGCAATCTTGGTTGTAGGTCTTTAGATTTCATGACTTGGAATACCTCTTTCCAGACCCTTCTTGCCTGTAAGGTCTCTTTTGAGAAATCAGCTGACAGTCTGACGGGAACTCCTTTGTAGGTGACTGTCCCCTTAGCTCTTGCTGCTTCTAGGATTCTCTCCTTCATTTTAATCTTGGCTAATGTAATGATGATGTGCCTTGGTGTGTTCCTTCTTGGGTCCAACTTCTTTGGGACTCTCTGAGCTTCCTGGATTTCCTGGAATTCTATTTCCTTTGCCAGATTGGGGAAATTTTCCTTTATTATTTGTGCAAATAAGTTTTCCACTGGTGGCTGTGCCTTTCCCCCTTCTGGTACCCCTATAATTCAGATGTTGGAACGTTTAAAGATGTCCTGGAGGTTCCTAAGCTTCTCCTCATTTTTCTGAATTCTTATTTCTTCATTCTTTTCTGTTCGATCATTTTTTTTTCTTCCTTCTGGTCCATTCCCTTGGTTTGAGTCCCAATTTTCTTTCCATTACTATTGGTTTCCTTTGTATTACCATTCATTTCAATTAGTTTAGCTTCCATATGTTTCTCTAATTTGTGACTAAAATCAACCAGTTCTGTAAGGATCCTGATAACCAGTGCTTTGAACTGTGCATCTGAAAGACTGGCTATTTCTTCATCGCTTAGATCTATCGGTTCTGGGGCCCTGAGTTGTCCTAGAGCCATTTTTGGTCTATTCGTGCTGTTAAGTAAGCGGAGCCAAGCCTTAGTTGTTTACCGGACGGGGCAACCCAGGTCGCTGGTTTGTGACGCTGTGTGTGGGGGCGTGGTCAGACAGGGAGCAATGGCGGTCCTCTCCGCTAGCCCAGCCCATCCAGTCACAGCACTCGCCCCGATCTTGTTTATCGGATCGGAATTGTGCGCGCCTGCTGCCCAGCGCAGGCTTCCCTTCTCACTGGTTTCTCCGCACGCAGATGCGCGACCGACCGACCGCAGACAGCCCGCCGCGCCTCTTCCCTGTGCGCTCCCGTAGCTCGCTCGATCAGCGCCTTTGGCTGCTTGCGCTCCGAGCACCACCCGGGAATTTTTTCTTGCTAACCTGCTCCGCTGCTGGTTTCGCTTCTCTTACCTGTTTAGCTGAGCATTTAGGTGTCTTTGGACTCCGTATTGCCAATTTTCCGTGTGGCTTGGTTGTGATTGTTGTTAAAAATAGTTGTTCTTAGATTTGGTTGTGCACAGAGGCAAGGTGGTTCCTCCACCTACGTCTCCATCTTGGCGGAAGTCCTTGTTTCCTAATTTCTTAGATTTGTTGATTCGGGTGTATAAACGGTCCGCCTCCCTCTTCCCCTCCCCCCACCTCTCCCTCCTTCTTCCCCTTTCTTCCTTCCATCCTTCCTCTTTTAGCCAAAAGGGGCCGCACCGTGCCTATTGCTCTGCCACTTGACTTTACAACCCAAAATGATCACATACACCCCCAGGATCACTGTGTGGAAAGATGTTCTCATTGCTGCACCGCACCCTCCCCGAGACAGGAGACATCATCGGGCTGTTTCTCTCTTTGTGGGTGCACAGGTTGCTCCCTGGCTTTGGCTTCAGGTGCTGGCCATGCCTCTGCCAGTGGCGCTCCAGCAAGGGCCTTGTGAAGGCAGTCGTGGTTCTCCTCACCAAGCCACGATGGGCCCACAGGCCAGGTGGCCACGGTTCTACCTACGCATGCGACCTGCTGCTTCTGCCCTCAGCACCGTCCCCTGCTGGCAGCCCCTCTGTTCACCATTTCAGCAGTCTGGTCATAAGCCTTCCAAGAGACCATTCTGTCTGTCCCCAGACCAGTTCTTACAAGTGGTATTTGGATTTCGAGTGCATATTCTGTATAAACCCGTGAAGGACGAGTTCAAAAAGGTAACTAATTTCTATTGCAACATAACAGAGTCCTTGGGGAAGATTCAGGCAAAGAGGGTCACTGAGTCTGTCGCTGTCAGTTTAGATGTGAGTGAGGCGACTTCGAGGGGTCAGGATAAAAACCGAAAACATTGTAGGGGGCTTCTGCACACACATCGCTTCGAGGACCTTTAAGTCTCAGCTCCGCTCTACCAACACAAACGGGAAGTCAGGGAACGTGCTTCCGGTGAGGTGCATGCACGAGGGGCCATGGGAGCCCCCCACGGCAGGCGTGACATGCCTCACAGGTAGGGGCTGAGCCTGCGTGGAAAGGACCCGTGTTCCCCTCCCATTTCTGCGGGCCAGCACGGTGGGATGAACCTTTTTTGCAGCTCACATAATGAATTCGTGGATACGTGAGATGCAGAAAGTTACGCCCACTGGCAGAATTTGGAATGCCATGTTACTCTAATATGTTTGGACATCACAGCCAAAGGCAAGCTGATGATAAAATTTAGCTTATTGATACAGCTTGGTGGAGAAAGCATTTAGCTCCCAAGTGCCTATTATCTCCTATCTTTAGTTTTATTTCATAGGTGTAATCTCATTTTTCCTTTTTCTCTCATTAAACTCTTTATTTCCCCCCCCCCACCTTTGGGGATGGGGCATCTCAGGATGGATTTGCTCCTGATTGAGCCTTTTACCCTGGCTCCTCAGCCAACAAGGTGGGAACCTGCAAGTCACACCTGACACCCCCTGCCCTCCACCGCCATCACTGTTTAGTGAGTCAGACTCTGTCTTGAAGCTCTAGGTCACCAACTCTGCACTGTGCTCTGAGATGCTGGGGCCGGAAGTCTGCTCACCCCATTTCCCGACCCCCTTGCAGCTGGCTTCCTGTTAGGTTCTGCCAGCAGGGGGCGCTAGAGAGAGAGAGAGAGAGTCTGGAAGGCAGTGGAAGGGCATGGAGTTCCCGATGTCCTGTTCTTTCCCAATTTTTCTGTTCTCCCAAGCCCAAAGGATGGGTGGTAGCTGCTTTCCCAGTTGTTCAGCTCTGTGTAACCTCAGGCATACACCTGGGTAACCAACTCCCCATAGTAACTGCTGAAATCCCCAATAGCTGGGGTCTGTCTGTGTCTTATCCACTCTGTATTCCCAGGGCCCAGCCTGGTGCTGCAGGCACAGCAGGTGCTCAATCAACACCAGCTCCCCAGCTGAACGTCCCCTCCGTGCCAGGGCATCTGTCGTGCCTCCCTGCCTGGGGCTTTGCCTCTTGATTTCAGCCTCCGGTCTCCAGTCTCCCAGCAGAGCTATTTTTAAAGCAACCCCTCACTGAAAACTCTTCCACGAGACCTCTGCTCCCTGAGTCCCATTGGTCTCCCAGTTTCTGCTGACGAACCTGTGCTGAAAAATTTCTCCTCTGCTCTTTGAAGCTTCCCCAAGTGCCAAACACACTCAGTCCCTCCTCCCAGATCCCCACCCTCCCTCTCCCGGCTCCGCACCAGACACGTCCAGGAGACGCCGCACTGCGTGTTGCCCAGCCTGGAAGCCCAAGCCTGCACTTGGGCGTGATGGCTACAAAATAAGCCTCTGAGTCATCACTTCTTTCCCAGGTGGCTCTGCTTGCCCTGGGCCATCTGTCAGAGCCTCACTTGACCCCTGCAGTGACAAGGGACGCCTGGGCTGGCGAATGGAGCATTGTCATCCACAAAAGGGGAGTGTGAATTCAAGACCCTGCTGGGAGAAGCCCCCTCTCGCGTGCCTGCTCCAGAAAGAAGGAAATCGGAGCTTAAGAGTCCGCTGCCCCCCATGCATATCCGGGGCGGGGCTGGGGGTCCGATGGGAAGCCCTGTCCTGTAGCCCCCCGGAGCCTCAGGGGGAAGTGGCAGGACGATGCCTGCGGGTTTCCTAACCTCTCGTTGCCCACCCACCGGAGGAGCTGGACCTCTCCAGACCCTGGTTTGATGCCCACCAGGGGCCCTGCTGCTTCTGGTCCTGCCACCACCCCCGGGCAGTGCCAGGCCACCCGGGGCTGTGTCTCCAAGCGAGTGTGAGTTACTACATAATTCATAACGAACTAGGAGTGCGGCCGGGACAACCTGCTTGATCGGTTGGAAGGTTGCCCCTGGTGGAACATTCTGGAACACATGAAGGATTCTTTCCCTCCAAGCAGAGCTTTACAAAGTGTGTGGGTTCTCTGGAAATGCAAAGTAGTATGGGTGCCGCGAGCCCAAAGGGACCCTTGATGAAGTATTTCGGAAACGTTCCGTTGCTGGGTTAGCCCCTGAGCAGGTTTTTTGGCGCAGGCCTCTGCAGGGCCTTGAACACACTAGTGGATGCTGCGGGGCTCCCTGGGGGTAGGGGGGGTAGGGGAGGGTAGGTGGCATTTCCCAAATTGATTTCACTGTGGAAATTCGGGAGGGGACGGAGACAGCCACACTAAAGTTCTGGTGTTTTCTCAAGACCACAATGTAGGAAGTGCTGTCTTTTCTTTTTTTTTTTTTAAGATTTGATTTATTTCGAGTAAGACCAGAAGGGGAAGGGAATGGGAAAGGGAGAGAAACATCAATTGGTTGCCTCTTGCACGTGCCCCAACTGAGGATCAAACCCACAACTGAGGCATGTGTCCTGACCAGGAATGGAACCTGTGACCTTGGGGTCTGTGACATGACGCCCAACCCTCTGAGCCACTCTGGTCGGGGCGGAAGTGCTGTCTTAAACCGTGAACCCGAGACGCCTTTGGACTACAGCGTCTCATGGAGTCATTGAAAGACGCAGATGCAGTGGTGGGAGTGGAATCCGGGAGTCCGCGGGCTGTGGCTTCCCCCACAAAAGAGGCCCCCGCGTCACAGCGTGGGAAGCAAAGCAAACGGAGGCTCCGGGGCCGAGGCCTTCCTCATGGAGCCATCATTTTAAAATGTGTGTTTAGCCACCCGGGCCTGACTGTGTACATTACAGAAGTTCCAAGTTCAAGCTCATGCGCAGTTGGCGTCATTAGTCACTAGCCGCACAAGGTGTCCCTGGTAACTCACTCTCTCTCCCTCCTAGTTCCTGCCGCAGAGGGCGCTCTCCACCAGCCCGGCCTGCGCCACCCCGCACGGCACTGTCCTCCACCAGACCCTGGACTTCGACGAGTTCATCCCGCCTCTGCCCCCACCGCCCTACTACCCTCCCGAGTACAGCTGCACGCCCACAGCGGAGGCCCACAGGTGCGTCTGTCCGCCGATGCCTGCGGGACGTGAGGGAGGCGGGAAATACTCTCTGGGGGAGAGAAGTGGCAAAGGTCTCACCATTTTCCCTGGAGAACAGGAAAGCAAGCTACAAAAGCATGTTTTGGTTTTTTTTTTTTTTTTTCCATCCTCACCTGAGGACATGCTTATTGATTTTTGAGAGAGAGGAAGTGAGAGAGGGAGAGACATCAATATAAGAGGGAAGTATCAGTCGGTTGCTTCTTGTAGGCCCGCAGCCCAGGGATCAAACCCGCAACCCAGGCATGCATCCTGACTGGGAATCGAACCCACGACCTTTTGGTTAGTGGGACGACGCTCCAACCAACCGGGCCACACCGACCAGGGCTAGGAAAGCACGTTTGCCTGGAGAACAGAGCAGGGCCCGTGAAGGGAATGGCGGCTCAGAGACAGAAGTGTCTGCTGGCGTCTTGGCAGGCTGACGACACCAAACCCAGACAGCAGCGGCCCCGCTGTTTTCTTAGGAAACCCAGAACCGCTACTGAATTGCTGTAACGTGCAAACTTTAATTGAAGGTGGAATCAGCTGTAGGACCATTTTCATTCGAATGGACAGGGGTTGGGTTGACCAAAAATGGTGCTGTTCTTTCCAGAAAACAAAAGCTGATGCTGTCTAGTGAACTGGGCTTTTCTTTCACAAACGCGGGGGTGTGTCAGGAGGGCAACTGAGGAGCCAGGGGCTGTGGGAGCGGCCCTGCGTGGTGCGCATGCGCCTCCTCCCCCGTGAGTGACCGCCCTGCGGCTCCGCCTCCGCAGGGGCCTGCACCTGGACTTCGCTCCCTCTCCGTTCAGCGCCTTGTACGACGTGGCCATCAACAGCCCCGGCCTGCTCTACCCCGCCGAGCTCCCGCCGCCCTACGAGGCCGTGGTGGGCCCGGCCCCCGCCAGCCAGGTGAGAGGACCAGCCGGCTCCCTGCGCCGAGCCTGCCGCCCTCGTTTCTCTCTCTGGGAGCCTCTCAGCAAACCTGTGGGATGGGACGTGGGGCTCCTGGGCCCTGCGGTGGGGAGGAGGCCACGGCCCGCTGAGTGGAACCCGCAGAGGGTCCAGCAGCCTGGGGACCCCGCCCCAATGTTTGTGCCTCTTCCCCGTGGCTCCTTGCAGGCGGGTCCGGGGTTCGTTTGGGGATACTGCCCAGGCGTTGCTGGCACAGGTTCTAACCGTGGGGCTCCAGCCATGGACACCCAGGGGACTCTGGCCTGCCTCTACGTCTTTGTCACCTGGTGGGGGAGGGATCCGTGGTCCTGACCTTGGGGTGGAGGCCACAGGGCAGGGGGTGCCTGGTGTGCCCAGCCCTCAACGGGTCCTTGGGGTAAGTGGGCAGAGCCTCAGTTGCCTTATCTGTGAAGTGGGTGGGGCAGCGTGTTTGTCAGGGACTCAGCACATCGTGGGCTCCGTCACCACAAGTCCCTTGCCTTCCTTTGGCATTCTCATGTCATGGTCGTTGCTGAATATGGAAGGGTGCTGGCCAAGGCAGAGAAACATGGACCCCTGAAAGCGTCACGCGGCAGCCCGCACAGGACGGAGCGGTCAGGGCCATGCAGGCGGCCCTCGGGGAGGCTTCGGGGGCAGGCAGCACAGGACAGGCCGAGGAGGGGCATGTGCAGGGAGCTGAGGGAACATTGAGAACGGGCCAGGTCGGGCCCGGGCACCAGGCAGACGGAGGTGACCCTGCGGCCACCAGTGAGGTTCCAGGGGCCCAGGTGCGCTCACGCCTTCGGGCTTCCCGGCAGCCGCGGGGCGCTTCTGAGCTGTGTCCCCTTCCGGGTCACCTCCAGGGAGCGGTGCAGGCCGCAGACCTGGCCCAGAGCCTCCCGTGGCAGATGACAGCCCTTTGCCCAGCCGCCCCTGGGGAGGGGGTGGCCCCCGTGACCTCTGCGGGTGTGGAAAGGGTTTACAAGTCTGCCGTAGGGACATCGCCTCTGGAAGCCTCAGCGCGGTTGCGTCTGCAGGGCATCGCAGCCACGGAGCTCCCTGAAAGAAACAGGGGGGAGACTTCGGCTTACTTATCTCAGTGTCATTCGGCCTCTGTTTTTTTTCAGTCCCTACCTGAGCATATATTTATTGACTTTAGAGCAGAGGGGAGAGAGAGAGAAACATTAATATGGGAGATAAAACACTGGTCAGTTGCCTCCTGTACCCTCCCTGACCGGGGATCGAACCCGAAACCTTTTGGTGCACGGGATGGTGTTCCAACCCACTGAACCATCCAGTCAGGGCCCAGTGGACTTTCTAATCATAGTCACTATTCAGAGCAGCACCGTCTGAGAAAGCAGGAAGGCCTCTTCCTCAACAGCCTGTCACCCCGTCTCCTGCCAGAGCTCCGTCCTGAGCCTCTATTGCTAAAGTCAAGTTTCAACTTAAATTCTGGGCCACAAAGTGGGTTTTTTTACCCCACTATGTCCACTACCTTTATATTTAATAAAAAATGCTGGACGAACCAAATAGCTGTTTGTCCCCCAGCTTTTGCGTGGCTCAATGGCATTGAACATCAGGGAAGGCCAAGTTCAAATGAAACCCTCCATCGCACCCTGCTTGGGGGGGCTGATGGACGCGCCTCCGGCAGCCGGCTGCCTCCTCTCAAAATCACACTTGACTGGGAGCCAGGGACGTGCCCGCCAAATGTGGAAACACATCCATTTCCTCCCGGCCCGGCCCACTGGGCGTTTCTCTTGTTTTCTTCCTATTTATTACCAGGAGCTTTCTTTGAGGTAGCGGTTGTTGAAATCACTACCCGCCCCTGCAAAATAAGAAAAGTCAAAAGGTCAGCAATGGGAGCGTTAAGGAAGAGGGAAACAAAGTTTTAGGGTGCTGTTCTCTTTTGGGGGGATTTAGAGAGTGCTGTTGGCAGAGACTTCCAGACTTGGTTTTCGGCGTGTAGCAGTTTTGGTAAAAAGGGAGGTGAGTGCTTGTGTGGTGTTTGTATGTAATTGGGATCATGGTAGGCAGTTCTCCCTCTTTGGTGTTGGGGTGAGGGTCCCACCTGCCACACCACTGCCCCGGGAGTGAAAGGAGAGATGAAGACCGACCCCGGGCAGGGGGGCCATCTCACGGAAGTGGCAGGAGAGGGGAGGCGGGCACCGACCGGCCGCCTGGTCTTACCCTGCTGTCCCCCAGAGCTCATGGCCCGAAATAGCATGAGGATTGAGATGTTTTTGAACAGAGGCAAGGACAGGCCCCTCGTGTTCCCGCGGCCTCTCTGGGCTTGAGGGGCCCACTCGAGGAGAAAGCTACAAGAGCGGGTTGACTGTCTGCCACCGGGCTGCGTTCAACCCAGAAATCCCCGCTCCCCTGCCCCCCGCCCTTTAAACTTGGACGCCGAGCCCCAGCTCAGCCAGGGAGGTGGCCTTGGGGCAGAGACCCAGGGAGCAGACAGCCCACTCGAGCGCTGGGTGACTTGGGTGCCTAATGGGGCCAAGAGTGTTTGTGAGGTGCCCGTGTGGGTCCCAACGGTGGTGGCCCAGAGCGTGATGGGGCCACCTTCTTCCTGGAGTGGAAGCCAGCGGGGAGAGTGGTTGAGAGGAAAGGGTCAGAACTGAGGACGGGGACTGTCCCACCTCCTGCGGTCACTCTGGAGGACCCTGTGTGGCCCCCAAACAGTGCCCTTACGCGGAAGGCGAGGGGGCTGAGGGTGGCACCTGGCCCAGGAAAGGGCCGTGTGCCGGTTGGGAAAGGTCGGAGAAAGTGCACCCTCCACCGCACACCCCACACCTTTAGGGAGAGAAGGGCAGAGCCCAGGGCCTGCCCCTCAGCATTTCCCCGGGAGCTCAGCTCTGAGTCCCACCCCCACACGCTGCCTCTGCTTCTTCCTCTAGCCCCCGAGTGCAAGTCAGCAGGGCGCTGAGACCAGCCCCCGGGACCCAGGCTCCACTGGCGGCTGCAGCGCCCGAGGTAAGCTTACCCATCAGCGTTGGAGGCAGTCAGTTTGGAGTCTTCACAGGATGCCTCCTCCTCCTCCTACTGCTGCTCCGCCCTGTTCGCATCTTCCTCTCTCGGGCTGGGAGGTCACTACAGCCTTTCCGTGAACGCGAGGCCCCACGTTCCCACTGGTGAAACGTGGCCAGCGAGGTCTCAAAATGTTCTCAGTTGAATTGAAAAGTAATTGTTTTTAATTCTCACCCAAGGATATGTTTATTTATTTTTTTTAAGAGAGAAATGAGGGGAGAGAGAGAAACATCGATGCAAGAGAGAAACATTGATTGGTTGCTTCCCATACTCGTCCTGACTGGGGACTGAACCTGCAAACTTCTGGTGCATAGGATGGCACCGCAACCAACTGAGCCACCCGGCCAGGGCAAATTTTGGGTTTTAACTTGGGTGCACATATACAAACAAATACTCTCTTAAGTTTGACCACCTTTTTACATGTCCACTGATAGGTCAGTTTTTGGTTCATTATTTTACTCCTGCAGTTTCTTCTTTTTGTAGATTTATTTTTTAAAAATTCATTAGATAGAGATATGAGAATATGCGTGGAGTAATAACACTTTTCCAAACCACTCCCAGTTTGCAGCTGCCTGGCCCCAGGATGCCTTTGCCACACCCAGGTCTGCATCATGGTCGTCGTCGAAGTCATCACATTTTTCCTTTATAGTTTCTGGTGCTTACAAACTCTTTCTCCACTTGAGGTAGTACACCTGTTTTTGCAGATTTCCTCCTCCGATTCAGTATTTTAGGAGGAGAGTGACTGTCCTGAAGAATTCTTGTGTGTGCATATATCTGACCTTCCTGTCACCTTGCTGTGTTTCCACACGGGCCACTCCCTGTTCTGCAGCACCTGCTGTGAGGGGCCGGGGCGGACAGTGGGCAGGGGAGAGAGGATGGGGAAGGGGACAGGGCTCGGACCCTAATGGGCAAGCAGGTTTGCGGGGGATCTCGCTCAGACTCCGGGTCTGTGTCCTCGCCTCCCCTGGATGCCACCCTGGAGAGTGAGAGGTGAGACCGAGCCTGTGCAGACGGACAGCAGTGCTCACACATTCAGCAGCATCCAAGTTCCCTGCAGGCTCGTCTGAGCCCTGCCAGCCAGGCCGGCCAGCAGGGTTTCTAGGGAATCCGCGGTGCTGGCCCACTCCCAGCAGCCCCTCAGCTTGGAGCACCAGGCAGGCATCCCCAGGGCCGGTGGGCAGCAGGCCAGCCGGCTGGCCCCACCTGCTGACCGGGGCTGCACCCCTGTGGGGGGCATAGGTTCTGTGCCCACCAGGCCTGGCTGGGGTGCCTGGGGCCCCCACATTTCTCTGCGTGGGCCCTGCTTGCCCAGCATCCTGTCGCCCCACTGTCCACACTTGGGGGCTGCCGGGGGCTGCCTGGGTGGGGTCATGTCTGGCACCTGACTTTCAGTCATAGCGGACCATGTAGTCCCGCCCATACGCCTCCAGGAATGATTCTTGGGGGATGGTCTGATCCCCCAACCTTCATGCACCATGGAGCACCTGTCGCCCTGCTCGGTGTGTCCTGCCCCCAGTTAGGGGGTGTGTCCTGCCCCCAGTTAGGGGGTGTGTCCTGCCCCCAGTTAGGGGGTGTGTCCTGCCCCCAGTTAGGGGGTGTGTCCTGCCCCCAGTTAGGGGGTGTGTCCCAGGGAGGCCTCTGTGCCCTCTGCCCTGAGGGGCATGGGGCTCTGCCTCTGCACCTGGTGGCACTGTGGTCCCCTGGGCCAGTGCTGACATGGTGTTCCTTGCCTTGCAGCACCTGCCAACAGCACAAGCCTCCCAGCATCTGAGGGCGTCACCGCACCAGGCCCAAGCCACCTGACCCCTGATGGCCCTGCGGGTGCCCCGCCACCAGCCCCCCGCCCCAGCCTCACATCCCCCGAAGGCCCCGACCGGGGCGCACGGGCACGTCCGGGTGCTGGTCGCGTGGCCCGCTCCACCAGCGACCCCACCTCATGCGCGTCCCGGGCAGCAGGTATGGTTGACGCCACCCACTCATGTCCCCAGCATGTATCTGGCTCTGCCCTTGACGCTTCAGGCCTCTGACCCCCGAGAGTTAAGGCCAGGCCCTGGGGGCCCTGTGCAGGGGCCACACTGAGACTGTGGTCTGATGTTCTCAGTCTCCAAGGCCGGTGCGCAGTCTGGGGCCCCAGCTGGGCCGCCACCAGGCTTGCTGCTCTGGCCTGGGAAGGGAGGTGAGAAGTCGGGGTGATGGGCCCACTGGGTGGGTGAGGCGGGTCCCAACATGAGCCCCCGGGCGCACACCCACCTGGGGCCCAGGCTCTGCGTGGCCATCAGCCTCACCGGGGTTGGAGCCAGCCCCTGCGGAGTGGGCAGTGTCCCCCTGGATGAGGGGGAGGGCAAGGCACCGAAGTCCCTGTGCTCCAAAGCCCAGGAAATTTCACACCATGCGGTGTGTGGTGGGCAGTTCTTGTGTCCCTGAGGATGGTGGGCACACACCTCATCCTGGGTCACCGCTGTGGCAGGCGATGATGGCCGTGTCTTTGCTGGGGTGATTGGTGGCCTTTGCCATGCGGACTTTATCACAACATGGAAGTAAAGAACCTCAGGGGAGGTCCAGTGGGTACTGAACCAGCCTTGCCTGAGGGGCTGTCTCACCCCCCTGAACCCTGGATGGCATAGGTCTCGGGAAAATTGGGTCCCTGAAGGGGGTCAGGAGCCCGCAGAAGTTGGTCTGGGCCTGGACACTCTCAGTGTCGCCCCTGTGGCGGTCCTGTCTCTCCACGCCCCGGCTCTGCTCCTTCGCTGCTCCCACAGAGAAGCCCCGCCCCCTACGGCCCCGGCCCCTCTGCCCCTGTGTCCCAGCCCCCACCCCTCAGAGCAAACTGGAGCCCAGGTTCACACGCCGAGGGTTGGGAGGGCTCCACGCGTGTGGAGAACTGGCTCTGTGACCCTGACACCTCTTTGGTCTGCCCCCCTTGGTGACATTCATGTCCACAGACCAGGACGTGTCAGGGACGGTGAGAAAAGGTGGTATGGTGACAAGTTGTCTCAGTGCCACCTCTGTGTCCACCACTCCACACTGTTGCCAAATGGGATGGTTAGTGTTCTGCATGGCAATAGACCTGTGTCCCCCAAGGTCTCTGGAGGCCCCCAGACGGGAACGGTGTCCCATGATGGGTCCTGGTTGCTTTTGCGGCCTGGCCTGCTGCGCTGGGCCCCCTGGGGGCTGGCCAAGCCCATCTCAGCCGCACTGCCCGCCTCGTGGCGGGGCGCCCTCTGCTGGGCTGGCATCGCAAGCGCATGTCTTGCCCCCGGAGGCTGAGTGTGGCGTGACCCAGAATTCCCTCTTCCCTTCTGGGTGTTCGCCGTGTTCTCTGTTTCGAAGACGATGCCTGCGGCAGCCAGGACCCTGACGCAGGACCGTCTCGGGCTGCTCTGGGGACTGGTGAGGCGCTTCTTTTCTAAAACAGCATGACGCTTGCTGCGAGTCAGGGGTGGCGGGGATGTTTGGGGGGGGGGTGCATGGTCCTCCGGCTCCTCACGGCGTCACCCAGAAGTGGGGCTCCCTCAGCCCTCTGGGCACCGCCCCGTCCACGCCCCCCGCCCCGCCCCCCCAGCCGTCTGCGTGGGACGCACCAGAGGCAGTGACGTCACACACACGCGGCTGCTCGGTCTGCCGTTTGTGAGGCTCTGCTCTGAGGGCCAGTTGGCCCCTCCTACGAGGTGTCAGTTTCTCGTGCTCAGCGGGCGGGCGGGCTTGCGGGCTGCCCCCCCCAAACGTCCAGCCCATGCAGCGTGAGCTTCCCTCGTGTGATTTGAAATAGGGCGAGTCGGGCTTTGATCTGGGTTTTGGTGAGTGGGCCACCGCCACTGCCTGTCCCTGGGAAAGCTGAGACCAGCGCGCTTATCCGGGGGGCCCTTGGCCTGGTGGGCGCTGGGAGGGCTCCTCCGAGGCCTGCCGTCCGCCAGCATGAGCGGTGGGGCTCCCAGTGAGCTCTGGCCTCCAGGCAGACTTGTCTGCAGACCCCATCAGACCGACCAGGGCAAAGGGCACGGAGCTGGGAAGGCTAAGAGGGGACTCGGTCCCCGAGGGGACTCGAAGATTGTGGCAGAGAGGGGACAGGAGGGGGACCCCGCTCTGCACAGCCCTTCTCTGCCTGTCCAGCTGTGGCTTTGCCTGTGTCCAGTCCTCCAGCTCCAGGAAGCTGCAGCCCCTCTAGTTCAATGCCATCTTAACTAGGAGGGGCCAGGACCCCCAAATCCCAGCATGCTTGCATTGGCTTTTTAAAGACTTCATTGCATGGCTGCCTTTTGTGCTGTTTCGGTTTGGCCGCTTCCAGGTTTTTCTCTTTTCCCTTGGCTTTTAGTTTCCCGGTCTCACTCCGTCACGGCTGCCTGTGCCCATCGGCCCCGGCCCGCGCCGCCCCGGGAGCTGGACGCCTGGAGAAGCCAGCGGTGCGTGGGGCCGGAGGCCTCACGGGTGGTCTGCAAAGAGCGGCCACGCTCGGCAGTGGATGGCAAAGCCCATGCAGACACCAGGGGCTCAGTGGCCAAGTTTTTGGAACACGCCAGCTGCGCCCTCGCCCCCGAGGCGCGGCACATGGCGGTCACCTCCGAGGAGCGCCACCTTCCTTGAGTCTGTTCTGGACCAGGCGTGAAGCGGTCACCAGTCTAGATGTGACCTCAGACAGGCTGGGAGGCAAAGCGGGCTTGCTGGAAACCAGTGCGTTGTGGGGAGGGGCTGGCGGTCCAGGGGGGCCGTGGGATGGCTCAGGGGGGCTGCTGTCCCATCTCTCAGCTGCCTTCTTGGGGGTGACACAGAGCAGGGGGACGCTCTCCTGTCCTTTGTGGACTATGGTTTTGTCAAGCAGGTGGCACTTTGCACTGACTGGCGCCACAGGAACCTGGTGGCAGGCAACTGTCACGGAATGAAGACGCTAAGTGCTTTCAAACCCAGGGCCGCAGAACCTGGACTCCCCTCATTCCTGACCCCGTTTGCCATGGCATCAACAGGACAGAGGAGACATCCAGTGACAAGGCCGTATCCCCGTGCGCTCTGTACCCCCCCGCGCCCTCACCCTTGCGTCTGCACTGGGTCCGAGCTCCGTCTGCAGGGCTGCAGGCTGCTGTGCCCACCAGTGTACGGAGGTCCGGCTGTGGTGGGGGGCTTTGCGGGGGGCGCCCCCTCTCCGGCGCTCTTCGCACTGTCTCTCTAACTGGCTCTGGTACTACAGACCAGATGGGCATCACTGAATTCGGAACCTTGAGCCCTGGTGACAAGCCCGCTTTCCAGGTTTCCTTGGCGTCTGGTGGACGAGGCCTGGTCTCCCGACCTGTGCATCTCCTGACAAAGCGCGTCTCTGGGGGCCTGGCCGTGTCTTCGCACGCACACACCCCCTGGGTCGGGTCCGTGGGAGCGGACAGGCCCAGCCTCCTCTGGCTGGCAGCTCGATTGCTTTGGCAGCACCAGCGACTGCCACCGCACAGCAGTGGCCCTGGAGTGGCTCTGTCCTCGAGAACCTTCTGCAGCTGGGGGCAAGCTTGCCGCTGTGCCACCCACAACAGCCGCCACCAGTACCTGGACCGTCACTGTAGCCAGTGGCCCCTCTGAGGGACAAGGCGGCAGAGCCATGGCAGGTGGAGGGCTGGCTGACGCCCGCTGTGCCTGGTGCTTGTGTTGTCGGAAGCTGAGGAGGGGACACCGAGCCCCCTGTGGCACCTGGGACAGAGGTTGGGGGAAGGACACCACTGTGACTGGCTGCCACCACCCACAGGCGTGCGAGCCAGAGCTGTGGGTCCTGCCTTCTGACGACAGCCAGCCAGATGTCCCGGAGGTAAATTTCAGAGCACTTTATTCAGACTATGACATGGGAAGTCTGTTTTCTGATTTTTCTCAGTGGAAGGATTTTCAAGTCCCCCAAAGCCAGTCCCTTGGCCGAAACGTCACTTGGTGACGTTTCCAAGGGGTGTCCCCTGAGATCTGCCAGCAGCGCCCGACACCCTGGCCCCGGGGGAGGCCCTTTCCAGTGTCTCATGTCCTCGGGTCCCTGGGCCAGGCCTTCAGAGGGCTGCGTGTGCGGCTGCCAGACCTGGCCCCCCCCACCTCTCAGGGGCGCCCCAGTGAGGGTGTCTCTACCGAGCAACCTGGGTGAGGGACCCCTGGGAGACCAGCCCGGTGCTGTCATTTGCTGCTTCTCCCTCCCCTGCCATCCTCCCCTGCCGCCCCCTAAGGGCAAGTGGGTGTCTGGCCCAAAGCCCACGCCCACAGCCCCTCCGCTCAGGTCTGGGTTTGCTCTCACACAGCCGGGCTCCCCGGGCCCAGGGTCCCTTGTGTCCTCAGGCTTGTAGTAAAGGTCCTGGGAATAGGGGTGCAGTGGAGCCCCTGAGAATGGGCCGGGACCCCACTCACCAGCTCTGGAACCCTCGGCCCAGCTTTGCTCAGCGACACTGGGAGCCAGAGCCCTGGACCACATGGGGGGGGCCACCAAGGGACCGCTGGCTCCTGCCCTCTGCCCTGGGGAAGACCACAGTGGGACCCCCACCCGCCCGCAGGGACCTGTCTGCACAGGCCCGGGTGCTCTCGAGGCCCCTCCCGTGACCCAAAGGGGACCGCAGCCTGTGCAAACTCTGCCATTTGACCCTGGCCTGGGGGTGGTGAGATACTCAGGTGGGAGGTGCTCTGGGCCCATCTCTGGCAGACTGGGGACACCCCCTCTACCAGGACCTCAGGCCCCCCCACTGCTGGCCGGAAACCGGGTCCCAGGCTGTGCATTTCAAACGGACATTTGCCCCTCCCCCACCGATCAATTCACAGATGCTGCTGTCCAGGCGGCACTTCTCGGACCCTGCTTCCCAGCCCCGGGAGGCCCGTGCGCACACTGGAAGGTTGTATGTATTTGATGTGCCTCAAGGTGTCTTCACAGTGGTCGGTGTTTTAATAAAAACTCTTTCCGGCCTCGGGTCTCTGAGGTGTGAGTGCAGCAGAGATGGCGCCTCAGAGCCCGTGGGCCTGGTGGGGGGCAGGGCCCCGGGGTGGGTGGGCAGTGGGGACACCCTGGGCCGGCCAGCCCGGCCTCCCAGGGTGGGGAGGGCAGGGCAGGTGCCCAGGTGCACGGAGGGCCCGCCGGAACTGCCCCGAGCTGCCCCTCCACACCTGCAACCTCTGAGGCCGGCAGGCCCTGCCTCAAAGGTCTTGAATTTGGACTTCGGGTGCGTGTTGTTGTGTGGGACCCTCACCCCCGGGGGGCCCCCAGCTTACACTCAGCCCTGCCCCACACCAGGTGAGCCCAGGACCGTGTTCCCGGACGGAGAGAACCTACGTGAGAGCCTTAGAGGCCCCAGGTGTTCCAGACGGGCTGCCCGGACCTGCAGGTGGGGACACTGCCGGGGACGGCGATCCGGCCTTGCTTCATGCGCACCCACAGCCTCACACGTGCGCGCCGCTCCAGGGGGGAGCATCCATTTCACCCGGGGCGCCCGCAGCACCCTCTGCCCCCCACGCAGGCAGTCGGTAGCCTGTCTCGCTCCCAGGACACTGGACAAGGGGCAGGTTTGGGGACCCACCACCAGGGTCAGCCTGCCTCCTGGAGCGCCCCCTCCTGGCCTTCGCGGGGAGCACCCCGAGGCCCAGGCCCCGGAGCCACCACACAGCTGAGGGTGGGCGGAGAGCCCGTTCCCGTGCCCCCGCCAGTGGACACACCAGCCAGGCAGACGGCCCCTCGTCGTGAGTTCGCGTTTATTAGTGACGGTAGCAAGTCTCCCGAAGGCGGCTGCATGCAACACACAGGTCATCCTGGAACACAGGGGTCCTAGCGCTTCAGGGTGGTAAGGCTTCTTAGTCACAGTGTATCTTCCAGGCCGGGGCCAGAGTGGAGACCTCGGGCAGCGTGGCGTCCGCTCGCACCGCCCTGTGGGGGCTGCGCTAGGCTGGCGGGGGCGGCCTGCACGCGCTCGAATACTGGTGACGGTGCCCGCAGCCTGGGAGTGGCAGAGGGCCGTGTGTTTCGGGAGGAACACGCGTGTGTGGATAGAGGGCCACCCCCGTGTCCCTGGAGGCGGGGCACGCCCAGGTAGGTGAGCATAGGCCACCTGGGGACCCTCGAGTCCAATGAACCGCCTGTCAGGACGCAAAGTTGAACGGGCGGTGGTCTCAGGAGCGACGGAGTCTCGATGTGTGGCTGTCACCCTCTGTGTGACTCAGGGACGGCTCCTTCCTCCACGTTCCACACGATCGTGGCCCCAGACCTCAGTCATGACGCCCTGGCTCCCGCGGACGTGGCAGCGGCACCGTCAGCCTTTGGGGGGCTTCCGGGGGGACAGACACGCCACACCACAGAGGTGCCGACACACCTTGTCAGTCGCGATGAAAAACGGGTCAGAATGTGGCAAAATCCTGGGCTGGTCTGCAGACACCGGTGCCCGTGACGCTCCTCCAACAGATGCGGCTCTCGTGTCGGGGAAAAGGGGGGGCGAGGGTGCCCCTCCGGGAGCCAGCGTCCTTGGGTGGGCTGCAGGGGCAGGTCCGGGCCGGCCCCCGCTCCGCTGGGCCCAGGCGTGGCCTAGATGTACAGTGGGGTCTCCTGGCCCGTGAGGAGCCTGAACATGGCGGCGGGCATGGTCTTCATGTGGATCTGCCGGCGAGAGGCAAGCTGTGGCTCTCCCCGCCCACGGGTGTGTCCGTCCCACCCGAGGGTTTCCCGTGTGAAGGCAGGAGCAGCCGCGGTGACCACCCGGACCAGGGCCCCGAGTCTCACCTCCCCGACCGAGCTGGACAGGGCCTGCACGACCTTCTCGTGGGCCGTGGCCACCACGCTCTGCCCGTTGATCTCGATGATGCGGTGGCCGACGCGAACACCCCCTCGCTCGGCGATGCCTCCCCGCATGAGGCTGCAGATCTAAGCAGACGAGTCAGGTCAGCTCGCCATCCCCTCGGGGACTCCGGCCCATCACAGCCACCTCTCATCACCCCCTCTCCCTGGCTGGAGTTGGGGGCACAAGTGTGTGGTGGGACCCGGAGCCGTGGGGCCCTAAGGTCACAGGGCGCCCCTCTTGGGAGGAAGAGACAGTGAGAGCTGGGCCACCCGGGCCTGTCTGTGAACGCACGGCTCGCGGTCGTCGTGCAGCGGAGCTGGAAATGGAAAAGGCCCACGAGCAAGACTAACTCAGACATTAGCAAACTTCCAGGGACTCGGGAGCCTGGCTGTGTGGCGCGGTCGGCGGTCCCTGTGGGCTCAGCAGGAGGAGAGGCCGGCTGTGAAGGCCCCTGTGCACCCCTGGGCAGTTACGGACACACTGGCCGGCGGGTGCACGAGTGTCGGGTGACAGCTGGCCCCAGGCCCTGTCACTTGCAGCTGGAAGGCTTGGAACAAGTGACTTTACCTCCCTGTGCAATGGTGACAGGTAATGCCACTGTCTGATCGTACCAGTTTCAAAGGAACCAGCTCCACAGAGCTGCTATGGGAGAAGAGCATATCCATGGGGTGGCCTTCACTTCCTGGTCCCTAAAGCTGACAGGCAGGTGGGCCAATGTCCCTGGCAGAGGAGCCAGGGGCCCAGCAATCAGGAAACTCAGCCGACGGGAAGAGCGGACATCCTGCCACTTCATGGCAGCAAGTGGGCGCTAACCCAGGGGGACAGAAGGGCCTGCAGCCCGCACCCTGCACCTCTCCCAGCTCCGGACGCACCCACCGCACCATGGGACAGCGGGGAGAGTTCCGTCTCAGTGCCACCGCCCTCTAGGTTCTCCCAGAATTGAGGACACGGCGCTCACCCCGGCCCAGCGCAGGACAGAAGAACCAGGAACTGCAGACTAAAGCTCCCCGGCCTGAGCAGCAGGCACGGACGTGGGGGCAGACCAAGGCGCTCTCAAGTCCCGGTGCCCTCCTCCTGGAAGCCCTCCCACCTCCTCAGCGCCAGGCCCGGGGCCTCGTGCACGGGTATGACCAGGTGAGCAAGAAAACGCAGGAAGCAATACGTGGACATCTGTCAGCCGAACACAACGAGTCTGACGCCACCACAGGCTGTGTGTGTCCCTGCTGCGATGGCCGAGGGGGGCCCTGCACCCAGATCTGCCCAGGAGTGGACTCACGATTCCGTTCTGCACGCTGAAGCCCAGCTGGTACTTGAGGTCTGGTCGCTTGATGAGGACCGTGGTGACCGGCGGGCAGCTGACAATGTTGAGCTTCACCTGTGTCTGGTTCTTCAGACCCTGTGAGGGCAGGGACAGGAGCTGGCTGAGGCCCCCGTGCTCCCGTGTGACAGGGCGCACGACCTGCCCTGGCTCAGTGAACACCTGCTGGTATCCCAGGCGGGGCCAGTTACGGTCGGGGGGAGGGCTCAGGTGCCCGGGGTCCCCACAGCTGCAGCTTCTCCTTCCTCTGTGGGTCGGGCATGACCCCTGGAGGGGGTGGTGACCAAGTGCCCGGGAGGTACAGCCACCCAAGGCTCCAGCACCACTGTCCACAAGGTCACTCACGGGCCAGCTCGTGGGGCCAGGGTCTGGCACCAAGGCCGCGGTGGGATGGGGACCACAGGACCCCAGCGTGGGGGCCTGCCCTGCTCTGAACTACAGGGCCACCTGTCCGTCTAACCCCCAGCCCAGGCTCCCTGAGACCGAGAGATGGCAAAGCCCCGGGGCCACGGGCTTGCGCCCCCTCTGTTGACCCCTCTGCGGGGTCTAAAGCTGCAGGCTCACAGGTCAGACCTTCAGAGCTGCCTCCCTCGCTGAGGGCCCGCCTCCCAGACCCACACAGGGACCCAGGTGGAGCAGGCTGCTGGCCACCTGACACCTGCAGGACCCTGGCCCTTGATGACGGAAACTGAACGTGCCCCCGGGGCCGCCCCGGACCTTCTCCGACTTCCACGGTGGAAGACGGGGTGCAGGGACCTACCTTGATGATGCCCTGGCAGGTGGCCAGGGGCAGCCCCACCAGGCTGGTGCCGTTGATGGACATGATCTGGTCGCCGATGCTCAGCTTCCCCGAGCGGGCGGCGGGGCCACCGTTCATCATGTTGGCCAGGATGACGGTGGGCAGGATGGAGCCCCAGCCGGACTCCACCACCACCACGCCCAGGATCTCGCCCTTGAGCTTCTCCAGCTGCAGCTGCAAGGTGAGCGGGCTGCAGTGGGGGCCGGGCACAGACTGCTGCCCCAGCCCGCCCCGGGGCCACGCAGGCCCTGGGGCCACGCAGGCGTGTCCTCAGACCTCGGCTTGTGTCTGTCTGGAGAAGTCCTCCCTCCTCTCGGCTCCGGCTCCGAGGGTCACTCCCTGATCCACCCATTCAACAGTGTTGGGGCACATGCGCACCCCCCCAGGCTTGAGCTCCTCCATCTCAGGAGACCCTGCCCCCAGCACCCCCAGCTATTGGCAGAGCACCCGACTTCTCTGCTGTGAGCTGCCTCCCACGTGCTCTTCCGAAACCTCCCTGGGGTGCACAGCCTGCATTAACAGGCGCCTTTTCAAGGTCGTTAAGACTGATTGTAATCAGCCTGTTTGTTGCAGCAACACCTCATTTCACACACAAGTGCTCCCCTCCCCAGGCAGGAGCGAGAGGCAGCATCTCAGCCTGCGGTGGAGATGGGGGGCTGGAGGGCTTCTGCCATGGCCCTGCTGCGGCCTACTTGCACCCTAGCTTCCGCTGCGCCCCCAGCTCACCTCCTTGCAGTTCTCGGAGTTGGAGAAGTGGATGAGGTCGTCGTTGTACATCTCCTGGGTGCTGATGATGTCACTGTACTCCTTCTGGCTCAGGTCCTCGGGGTTGATGCCGTTGGCCCGCAGGAACTCCTGGTAGGCCACGCTAAAGGCCTGGCCAATGGACTGGGCGATCAGCTGGGCCTGTGGGCGGGGCCATCCTCAGCAGCCGGCAGGGAACCGGGCCCCATGGCCCTGGTGCACACATGAGCCTTCCCGAGTCCCCACCAGCGTCGGTCCCCAGGGGGACCATCTGCAGCCTGCACCTGCCAGGTCCCCATCCTGCCTGGTCCCCCCTGGAGCAGCTCTGAGTCCCAGACGTTCTAGGGCCAAGCACGGTGTCAAATAAAGTCTGTAGAGGTCACACATCGTGTGCCAGACGTTAGCCTGGTGGTGCTTTCCTCAGCGACTAGACCGTCTTTGCTCTGTACCCGTCTCCTCCCAAAAGCGCACTGGGGCCAGGTTCCCCGCGGAGCCTGCACACGGCTCCCTGCCCACCCACCGGTCCTTCCTCCCTAGCGGCTGAGGCCCGGGGGGCCCCACGGGCAAACTGCCCTCTTTCAACGGGACCACGAGTGTGGACGCTGCCACGTATCTGACACTGACCATCACCGCAGGCGTGCAGAGGCCGGCAGGGGGCGAGAGCTAAGGACCTGCACCCCTGGGACGTGTCTGGGACCTTAACAGCTGTGAAGCCTGTGGCAGCAGGGGGCTCTCGGTGGCATCTCAGCGCCCAGCAGGGCCGCCTCCCACCCAGCAGCTCCGGTCTACCCTCGCCCACCTCCCCAGCTGCCAGCAAGGGGGCCCCTGTTAGGCAGCCCCAGCAAACCTCAGGGGAGCAGGGCCCAAACAGGTGAGACACGGGATCGAACCCCGGGCGGCTCTCCCTGAGCAGGCCCTGCAGTGGACGGCCCTTCCTCCCCAAGTCTCCTGAACACCTCGGGGGGGCCCACCCAGCTCCGTCCCCAAACCAGCATTTTGACGTTGTTGCCCTGAGAGAGAGGGCCAGCGCCCGGGGCCACCAGGTGGCACCTGGGGACGCCACAGGCTGCGCACACCTGAGAACTGCTGAGCCCCTGCAGATGCTGAGAACAGGCCCTTGGGGAGGGCAGAGCGGGGACCTGGAGGCGGGGACGGGCCCCGCCTCCCTGGGGCGGCAGAGAGGCTGGTGGCCATCCAGGCCGCAGGTCTGTCTGCACTGAACGAGGCACCCGGCTTCCAAAAGCGGTCTGGGAGCGCCGCCCCTGTGCCCACAGGTGGATGGGAGCACGGCTCCCACTGTGCTTGGACTCTGCCTTGCATCCTGCCAGGACGGCCAGCCCCACCCCAGGAAGCTCCTGCAGACAGCGAGGCCATGGCGCCAGGGGGCGGCCCAGGAGCCCGAGCATTGTTGCATGTGCCGTAGGCCCCCTTCCTGGGACCGGGGTGGGACACCCCCAGAACCCTGCCAACCAGGGGTTCCCCTGCCCCCGGGCCGGGGGGCGTCCCCCACCATGAGGCCTGCGGCCCAGCCCCGGCAGGTGGGGACCTTGCACGGCCCAAGAGGTGGCCTCCTGTGGGGGCCCAGCTCGGTCACCTGTGCCCTTCCCCTCCCCTGGCTTGCAGGGGAGACTGAGGTCTGAAGAGCATTGCGGGGGCCTCAGTGCTGCCCCGTTTCCCCAAGTGCCCCATCTGCTGTCACAGGCCACAGGCTGGCCGGGCCCTGCACTCTTGCCACCCACACCCCGCTGGGGGCCTTTTCTCCCTCCTGCAGGGACAAGGACACACACACCCCTTGCTCTCAGCTTTGTCCCCCAGAGCTGATGGCAAGGCCACAGCAGCGTCCCCGGCTCAGACCTTCAGCATGGCAGTGTCCCCGACACCGCACATGGGGGAGGGAACGGGGGTGCAAGCCAGGGGTCTGTGTTTAAACAACTCCTGTCCACGGCCACTGCCTCAGAGCGCTTCTGGTGACTTCGGGGTCCCAGCAAGGGGACTGGCAACTGCCTGTGCCCACCCTGCCCTCACACATAGAACGTCGGGACCCTTCCCTGCGGCGACAGGTCCCAGAGATGCCCTCCAGCCCGGACGTGAGCGAGAACACCCTCCCCACGTGTCCACAGAGGAGGGAGAACCATCGGAACATTCTCCCCCCAGGTCCTGGGGCAGGTCCGCCTGCAGGGGCAGCGCAGGGACCCGGCCCGAGGCGCCCTGTCTGTCTCTGTGCCGCTGCAGGCCCAGAAAGCAGCCCCCCAGACCCTCCCCGTACCCTCCACTTCAAGAACAGAGTGCAAGGCCTTCGGGTCCCTAAGCGGGTCTACCGCCTTGTAAACTTCCGAATTGCTTTTCCACGCGCCTGGAGGAAAAGCAGAGCTGGACTCGAGGGCAGAGGTGCGTCCCCTGATGCGGGGCCCCCGCAGGTGCGGATGCAGCGTCCTGCCATCAGCAATGTGGGCTGAGGCCACCCCGTGTCAGGAGGGAAGAGGCGAGTCGGGCTCCTTGCCTTGGCTCTCCCAGCACCTCTGACCCAACGCCCAGTGAACTGGCATCACGAAGCGATGTAAGACCCTGCTCCCACCTTCTGCCAACTCAGAGCCAGAAAACTGCCCCTGGGCCCGCAACACCCAGGGAGGCGCCGGGTCCTGGGCCCGGCCCCCCCCGCGGCGACTCACGTCCTCCGACTCGAACACGTGGCACACCATCTTGTACTGCTTCCTCCCCTCCTGCGCCCCGGGCGTGGTCTCGATGCAGTCCTGGGAGGCGGAGCGCGGCATGCGGCGCCGGGCCATCAGCACCACGATGTTGCCGATGTCCGCGATGTAGGAGATGGTGCGCAGGGCGTGGTCCATCATGGTTTCCTGTGGGGCGGGGTGCGCGTCAGGGAGGGCGCGGCTGAAGGGCCCTCGCGTTCCGACGGCTGCTCGGTGTGTAGGGGGCTGGACCACTCTGGACGTGAGCGTCTGCCCCCCACGCTGCGGGGGCTGGGCGGCATCCCCGGCCTCCGCCCCCAGCCGACCAGGCAGCCGCCTCGGCGCTGGGAAACTCATCACTCTGCCTGTCACGCCTTTGTCCCCTTCCCACAAAAGAAGGCCGGGTGTTCCTGCAGCCTCCGAAGCCCTGCCCCTCCTCAGAGAGCCGTCTTCGCAGCGACTGCTGCTCCGCGTCTGTCTTCATGGAGCGGGGCTGGTCTCGCGCCAAGGCTGTGGGGGGGCGTTGTGGCCACAGGCCCACTTTTCAGGACGGGACACCAGAAAGGGACCATCAGGGGTGGCTCCTCAGCACCTCCCGACCCCCGGCCCCTGTGAGAAGGCACGGGTCCGGCTCCAGGTGTCGGAAACGCGCTTCGTCCCCTGGTCCCAGCCCAGCCGGCGGCACGACCACTGCCCTCACAGGAGGACACAACTACCGACCAATAACATATGGCGCCTACGGAGGTGGCCGCCCGCCCCCTCTGCCCTGCCTGACCCCTGCAGTCTCCACCGCCTCTCACCTGTGTCCCCTCCCCGGCCCCTGAGCCGATGCCATAGGGCTGTCAAACCACCTTCCTGTGGCAACTCCCCCTGGACACGCTTGCGGCTGACGGCGGCCCGTGCCCAGATGTGCCAGGCACCTCCAAGGGGCACCTGGGCCACAGCTCGGGACACCCGGCCCAGCCACCACCCGGCCCCCCGCACACGCCCCACCCCGCAGTCAGACCGGGCCCTGGTGCCCAGGTGGGGCGTCAGGAGGCCGCCGCACTCGTTCCAACAGCAGCCTTCACTCACTCACCTGTGTGTCTGCATTCAACACCTTGATCCGCTGGGTGGAGATGAACAGGTCCACTTCGGTCAGGGTCTGCGCGTCCCCCTCAGAATTCTGAGGAAGGACAGTGGACACGGTCACAGACCAGGAGCCCCAGCTTCAACGAAGCCCGACGGTGCCGTGCTGACCCGAGCGCGCAGGGGCGGCCCTCGGGGAGCCGGTGTGTGCACTCTCAGCGAGTGAGCTCGGGAGGCGGGGAGCGGGAGGCGGGAGGAGGGTGGGCTGGCAGGAGCTGAGCAGGAGGGGGACCCGGCACCCAGGGCTGGAGTCGCAGCGGCCAGAGGGCTGTCTCTCCACCCGCCAGAACCGGGCAGATTCAGCAGAGGCATGCTCTGCGCCCCTGGGCTCCGCGCCCCGGATTTGGTGTCTGAGCATCCCCAGGAAATGGCGAAGCCGTTTTCAAAGAAGTTGCATTCAAACGTCAGCATTTTCTTCCAATCGAAACAGCCGATCATGCCCACACCCCAAGAGCCGACTTGGTCCCCACCTTCCGAACACCCTCAGGGAAGCCAGGCCCCCAACCGGGCTGCATGTGGCCCTCCTAGGGATGCAGGCCAGGCCAGAAGGTGCTGTCACACAAGGGCCCCTGTTCTGTCACCTCCTGGGGTACGCTCGCAGCATGGCCATTAGTGCGAGCACACAGGAAGTCCCAGAAGCCTGGGGAGCGACTCAGGTCTCCCCCAAGCCTGACAGCCCCTCACTGGTCGGCGCACCTGGGGGACTCTGATTACTACCGCAGAGCGCCGGTGTCGCTCGAGCGCCTTTGATTCAAGATGGGGGCGAATCGTTCTTTGTAGTCACCCGGGAGCCTGCAGTTGCTGTATCTCCAGCTTCCAGAGAGCAAGACGCTGTGACTTAATTTCTCACTGGCAAATCTGGGCTCCAAAATACTCCTGCCAGCAATTCCTCAAATCTGCAGGTCACAGGCAGCCCCCTGCCACAGTGACAAATCTGTGCTTCTTCTGGGTCGTTTGGCTCGCCACAGGGTGGCGCTGCTTTCAAATGGCTCCAAAAACAAGAGAACCAAATATGCCCGTGGCAAAGAGCCTGCAGGACTGTGGAGAGATTCTTTTCCCTGGTTTTAAAAATCGGTTATACTCCACATCCAGATGCTTTTAAAGGTTATATTCTAAGATTGTGGTCCAAACCCTCCTCGGTGCAAAGCAGGTCAGGACAGAAGGAGCGAAAGGGCAGGCGGACTGTGGTTTTCGTCGCCCTGCCAGTTCTGGGGGAACGTGAGCTGCACTCAAACTGGGGAGTGAACACAGGTCACTGAACCCTGACTGACGACAGGAACCGGGCCAGGTCATGGTCACACTCCCTACTGGGACAGAGCAGATCCTACAGAGGGACCCAGACAATAGGGTGGGCACCTGTGTGGATGGGAACCCTGACCAGACAGTCACCAGTGAGTCTGGGGTGTGGGCCCTCTGCTGGGGTCCTGGGCTTGGGGAGCACCTCCCGCCATCATTTGCTTGGCCAGCTGTGGGCAGATCAGAAGAGGGGCCCTTGGCAATGAACTTGAGCATCTCCCTGCCTGGAAGAGGGCCAGCCAGCCCTTCATGGGCCAGATCGGCCAGCCTTGCTGCTGAGGCTGTTCGGAGCCCCATCTGCCTGCACCCAGACCAGCCCTACGGGGACAGAAGTGTCACCACCGAGGAAAGGGAGCCCCAGGCAGGGTCCTCTGGCCACACCCCCAGGAAATTTGGCCCCAGAGGGCTACACTTCTTGCTGTTGAAGCTACAAGCCAGGGCTGGAAGCCTTCTCACACAAGGCACTCGCTACTTCCTGGGGGGGGCGGGTGTGTGGGGGGCAGTTAGAAAGTGCCCGGCCTTTACCGGGTGGCCAGGTTCACAAACACAGGACGGAGGGGCGGCCGCTTTCTGTGGGTCTGTCCTCGCCCTAGAGAGACTTCACCGGAGACGCGCCTCCTGGGAGACCCGAACTTCTCATCCACCAGATTTAGTGAATTAAACTTAATGAGTCTTTAAATATCGGGACAATTTAATTAACTCTCTGCAGGAGGCCCAGGCAAATGCCACAGTTAAAAACGCCTATGCAAAACAGTAACATCGCCACATTAACCACGTTCCAGCCCATCCCGGCACACAGAGCCTCAAAGAGAGATGAGAAAGACAAAGGGGCCACGACTGCAGTCTTCCGTCAGCGGAGGGTTTGAAAAATGTGTGGTTTGACTCAAAAGTCTAGTGTTTATCTCAAGGGCAGAGGAAACACCCTTCACCACAGTATCTGCTTCCGGGGGGAACCCGCCCCCCACCCCCCTACCTGCACCGCACAAGCCACAGACACACAAGCAAGGCCCGCAGTCCTACACACCGCCTTTTTCTTGATCTTAGCAGCTTTCTGCATCCTCTGAACAGCATGTGAGAGAGAAAACAAAGACAAACACGTGGGCGCCAAGAGAAGGAGGCGGCGGCTCTGTGCTCCATGCCCCAGGGCTCAGACCTCGGCCAGGGACAGGTGAGCAGCCAGCCCCTCGGCGGGCAAGCACGCGAGAGGCCCCACACACCGCTCAAGCGCCCCAGACCCCGGCCAACCCCCGGGTCTGCGGGGGGGCCAGGGCGGCACAGAGGACGGCGGGGCAGAGCGCGCCGCCTGCAGAGCTGCAGGACCCCGCGGGCGGGCTCAGTGCTGCCCTCTGGTGGGCTCAGGCGCCACACCCCTTCCCCTCGGTTATGAGAGATCATGTCTACTGGGAGGACAGGGGAGGGGCAGATGCAGTTCGCCACCCCACGGGGGGCAGCAACCTTAATCCACCGCACCCCTCGCCCTCTGACCCCACGACCTTCTCGGGCTTGGCCAGAAGCCCGGCCACACCCAGAGCTCAAGTAGGCCCCAGTTTCCTGGAGGTCACGAAGTGAAAGGAAAAGTGACATGTCTCCCTTTCCGCGGGCAGCACCGCGAACAGCACTAAGGGCCCAGGCTGTCGGACCGGGACTCGAACCCCAGGTACCACGTCCTACGACCGGCACACCTCCCCACATCCTCTCTCACGTCCTGCTGCCCCCAGAGCGGGGTGCGGGCAGGGCCGGGGCAGTTCCTCATTACAGAGCCAAGAACGTGGCCCGGGCCCAGCGCCCTCCTGCCTGAGGCCAGAGCCCATCCCAGCCTGGCAGGGCGCCTGCGGCTTTCCCGCTGAGGGCCGTGGGTTCGAGCTGGACACGCCTCCAGGCCCCGGCCCCGCCCTGCCCCTACCTTGACCCGGCTGACGGCCTCCTGCGCTTGCATCATCCGGATGTTTTTGGAGGGGTTGCGCTCCGACAGCAGCTGGGTGGACCCCAGGTAGTTGGCTGCGAAGATGATCCCATCGATGAGGTCTTCTGGCTCGCAGGGCCCTGGAACTGAAGGGGCGCGGTCAGCCTCCGCCCCAGGACGGATGGACAACCAAGTGGGAGGAGGGGGACAGGGGACAGAGGACAGGCACGGCGCCACCAGCCCTCGGGCCAGAAAACTGTGCACAAACTGTCAGGAGGGCAATTCTGGGACTCAGGTCACTCTGCCACCTCCGAGGTGACCACCAGGTGCTCCAATTCTGGGAGGCTCCTGTTCCCCAACACGGCGCCATTCCTGTGCCTTCCCCGGAACCCTCCAGAACTCAGGATGGTTAGAGAAACTGCTGCCACCCTCTGATTCTTCTAGAGCCTTCTCTGCCTGTGCTCTCCGGGCTCTTGCCCGCTGTGTGTGTTCTCACACACACATACCAGGTCACGCCGCCATGAGGGGGACACTGACCTCGGGCACATGAGAACTCTCTCGAGCGTCGTCTGGGGAGTGAACCCCTCTGACAGACACAGGCCGCTACCCCCACCCAGAGACCGGCCCCGCCCTTTGCCGGGGGGGGGCTGTCTGACCCCTGCCAGGCTGCACGGCCAGGTTTGACCTGGCCGCTCCTTCCATCTCGGGCGCTTCTGTCTCCCTCCTGGAGGTGACAAACCCGCCCCCTGCTGGGCAGGGCTGGGAACACAGAGCAGGGGGCGCACGGGGAGGGGGAGGCAGAAGGAACCCCTCTGAGTACACCCACCTGGAGCCCTGGTTCAGCGCGGCCCCCAGGGTCTGTCATTTGCCAGCAGTCCCCTATGGTGGGGTCAGTCACTCCCTCCCTGCAGTGACAGCTACTGACCAGTAGATGGCATTACTTTGCTCTGCAGGAAGGGCCTGGGGGTCCCAGCAGCCCTGGGGTAACTGCCCCACCTCAGCTGGTACCAGAACCTGCCTTGGCAAGCGTCCCCATGTCCCATCTGGGGAGTGCAGGCTTGCATGGCACCCCACGGGCCCCCAATCCCTGGGGTGGGGGAGAGGCCTTCCCTTCCACTCAACTACCTGCCAAGGCTGCTGTCTTTGAACTCGCCATCTGCCAGCCCCTCGGTCAGCTCACCGGACCATCCTGAGGTCCCCGTTCCTGTTGCAATCCCCATCCCCGAGTAGACCTAGTCAAGCTGGGCCCCATCTCGCCCTGCAGTGAGCCTTGCCTGGTCTGGGTCCAGCTGGGGACACAGACTCGTGTGGGCACAGGGTGCCCACCTGACGCCCACAGGCATCTGCTCCCCAGGGAGATGCCCAGAAGGGGCCAGGGCTTTGCTACGACTGCACGCAGCACTCGGCTGCTCCTCCAGGGGGCGCCTGTCGTCCCCATCCTGCTCTTTCTTGAACAGGAAACCGTCCTGCATGGGGTCCAGAGGCACCCGCCTGCCCAGCGGACCCCATCCCCCACAAGTCAGGGAAGAAAACCAAGAGGCGGAGAAAAGCAGAGCAGGTGGGGGGAGGGCGGCTCGGTCCTGCAGACAGAGCCTTCAGCTCCAGTCACGAAGGCGGAAGCAAAAATCGAACAGCTTTGTCCCCAGGCAAACACAGCCAGCCGGCATTTGAGAATATGAACTGTTATTACTGGGGGCTCGGCTTGTGAGCCGCCCCTGAGCTCAGACGGCCAGCGGGAGTCAGGAGGACAAAGGACTGGAGAGGGAGGAGTAGAGAGGCACAGTCTCCCAGAGGGCAGCTCCTCCTCTTTGTTTTCTTGCCACAACATTTATACTCGCACGGGTGTGAGTAGAATGTGTCTGTGAGAAGAATAAGGGGCCCCATCCCTCCCTGCGGGGTCTTCGCCTGCGGGCCCATGGGAGCACCCGAGGCCTGCGGACTCTCAGACTGCACACGGAAGGGGTGGGGGCCCCCAGAGCTGTGCGGGGAGCCCCACCCCTGCTGCCCCTGAAGGTGGGTGTGGACAGAGGCTCCAATGACTGTTCTGGCCCCAGGGGGTTTTGTGAGCCCCCAAACTGGTGCCTGTTTTTCTGGGGCTGTGGGACCCAGAGGGCCTCCGAGCGTAGCCCCACCCAGTTCCTGGGCCTCCACGTCCCAACTGCACCCACAAGGACAGCTGGAGCCGCGTTGGTGGCTCTGCCCAGGACTGCCCTTGCCAGTGCAGGGACCGCACAGTTCGGAGCCTGGCCCCGTCTACGGACAGCGCCCCACGACAAACACAGAGCTCACAGGCTGAGGCTGGCCCCACGGGCCCAGAGTGAAAGCACCAGGGTGGCCCGTGGCAAACGCCAGGAAGGGCACGGTGCCGAGGAAGAAGGGGGGATGCCCGCCCTCAGCAGTGCTGCACAGCTGCCCTCTGAGCTGAGGTCTGCAGGGCGCACAGGGACCGACAAGCCACGGAAGGGAGCGGGAGGGCCTTCCAGGCCAAGGCAGGGGCAGGCGCACAGGTCCAGGGGTTGCAGGGATTGCAGCACCATAGGTGACCCACAGAAGATGCGCACGCCCAGGCGGGCATAGGCCGGCAGCCGCAACGAGCGGGGGCCACAGACAAAGCAGCAGTCAGATGTGAGGACCCTGGGGCCACTCCCGGCCCTGTCCCTACAGGGTGTCGGTCAGGGAAGTGGCCCAACCACGCTGGCTTCAGACAGCGACTGGCTGCAGAGGCAAAGACTGAGAGCAAGAAAGGAAAGCGACTGGGAGGCTGCTGCAGGGTCCTGACAAGTGGCGGGTGGTGGCGCTGGTGATGACGATGGTGATGGTGACAGTGATGATGCCAATGATGATGGTGTGGACCAGGGTGACGGCATCTGAGAGGCATGACAGACTGAACACTCTCAACAGGACCAGAAGACCAACTGCAGTGCAAAGCAAGGACAAGGAGGGCTGGGCAGCGGGACTGGACACACAGAGCTGCCACTGACCGGGGAGGGGACCTGTGAGAGGGCTGAGCTCGGGGATGGGGTTCCAGGCAAGTTCAGCTGCAGGAGCCGGGCGTCTTCCAAAAGCAGCAGGGCAGACAGCCGGACTCGGGAGCCAGAAGGCACAAGTGTTGCATGCAGTGCGGCTGCAGACCTGGCCGGATCGTCAGGGCAGGTGGAGGCCCGGGACCAGCCCTGTGGAGCAGTGACGCCCCATGGGTGGGCAGAGGAAGGTGAACCGGCAACCCAGAAGCAGGGCAGACGGGTGGAGGGGACAGAGAGAGGTCAGGAGAGCAGAGCCGCAGGGCGGGAGGCACAGCCAGCTGCTAGCAGGAGAGCAGAGAGCCCTTGTGTTCTGTGCAGTGACAAGGAAGCCAGTCGTGACCTTGAGAGCTGTCGGAGGAGACCAGGCAGAAGCCAGCAGGTGAATCGGGGTAGGGGGAGGTACAGACACCAAAGCAGCCATTCCCAAACTCCGGTTAAGGAGACACTGGTGGCTGTGGACAGACACAGGACAGGACAGACGTGCTGCGCAGCCAGCGGAGGGGAAGTGGGTACAACGGGAGAGAAGAGATGCCCAGAGGGGACTCAGCGAGACTGGGAGAAGGGGAGCTGCTGGTGGCGCCCGATCTGGAGGAGAGGCCAGAGGAGTGCCGAGGCCGCACGCCACGGAAGTCGCCAGATCAGCGCAAGACCTGGCCCTGGGGAGGGACTGGAAGGGACGGAGGGGGTAGGAAGGGAGGAATGTCAGAGCCGAGAAACTGGCCCCCGGAGGAGGAGACCTGCTGCCCACAGCCCCAGGGCGTGGTCTCCAGGCCCTGAAATGGGCCCTGCCTGCCCCCACGCTGCCACACACCATGCCTCCGAGAAGCCCCCCATTACTGGTGATGCCGAGTGGCGGACAGAAGAGAAGACGCTGTCTGAACAAGCAGACCCACAGGACGGTCCCTGGTGACAGGCTGTGCCCAGATCTGCAGGACGGGCTGGCTGACGCCCTGCGGAAAGGGTTTGGGAGTCCCAGCGTGGCATTTCTGACACCCCACCGGCAAGACAAAGTTCCTGGCCACAGCGGAGGGTGGGGAGAGGAAGAGAAGCAACAACACAGTCAAAGTCGAACTCAATACCACGCACAGGCTGCCCAAGACAGGCCCTGTGCACGGGCTTGCCCCTGGAAGGGAAGGCGGAGGGAGAAGAAAACAGGCAAATGCAGGAGGCTGCTCACTGCAGGGACAAACCTGGGGACCACCCCAATGTCCCCCGCTGGGGACCGCCGCCGCCCAGGGAGGGACCGGCATATGTTGCCCAGTGCGGGGCCCTGCATCTGATCTCCGGGATTTCACGTTAAGCACGAAACACGAGACAAAGACGAGGAAATCTAATTCATCCCCTTCTGCCTAAGAGAGGAGAAGGCCCGCTCAGGATAGAAATACAGGAAACGCCAAAACCAGTCCTCAGCAGTGGGAAGGCAGACGTCGCTGTGTGGGCCGCTCGGTTCACGGAACCGCACGGTGAAGGAGACGTGCAGTGAGAGGAAGGCGGATCTGGGGGCACATCCGGGCCTGGCGAGCCCACGCGGAGAGGAGCTGGTTCGGTCTGAAGGCGCCGTGATTTGAGGGTCCCGCCCTCGTGGGCTGCAGGCCAGAGACCGAGGTCAGTGCCAACAAATCTTCAGCGGCCCCTGCAGCCCCAGAGGAGCCTGGATGTGGGCCCGGTTCTGCTGAGACCGCTGTGTGACTTGTGGGTTACAACGAATGCGGGACCACGTTCCTGTGCTCCAGGAGGGGGTGTGGGACAGATGTTAGACCAGGTGCCGTCCTGACACGGGGCCGGTGTGCATCAGCATGTTCATCTTAAACACAGTCTACTAGTCACGTGCACTTGTGTGTCTTTGATGGTATTTATGACATAATTAAATGGACGGATCTTTCCAAAACTTGTCATTTTTGAATTTCGCTATTGTATGTTACTGATTACATCATACCCCACGTTCTACCCAATCCAAGTTCAGAAGAGGAGAACAACAGAGAACAACACAGGAAACAGCAAAAACCATTCTTATTCATAGATAAATAGAATAAGTTTGTTTCCCTAAAAACATAATAACTAAACATCGATTATAAAAAATAAGAACTCACGAAGGCAGTGGTTTCAAATTTAATATATAAAAAATCAATAGCTTTCTTTGGAGCTATAGAGAGCGACAAGTTAGAAAAAAGAGTAAAACAAAAATAGAAGGTTTATGAAAGCAAGAAAAAGGATAAAACTCCAAGGAATAAACTAACAACGTATAAGCCAAATTTTTATGACTAAAATTTGATTGATTACAAACAACCCAGAATAAATGGAAAGCGAAGTCCCTCTGGGGATGGAAAATTCTATGCAGTCACGCAGCTGCCTTCTGCATCGAGGAATGTAATGCACGGCGCGCATAGAGTAAAATGAAATAAACTGAAATACAATACCAACAGGAATTTTTATTGTGTAACTAGGTGACCTGATTCTAAAATTTCTAGAAAAAAAATAACTACATGCGAGGACCGGGGGCCACTGTGGGCTGGGCGATGGGGTGAGGGCGGGGGCCACGGGGGGGGGGGCGGGGGCTGAGGTCACTGCGAGGCCCTGGCACCCTGGCCCCGGCCCCTGAGGGGGCGCATCAGTGCAACGGGGCGAGAGACAGACCTCGGTGCACGCAACTGGAGATCCCACATAAATCAAATAGTTACATAATTTAAAATAAAGTCACAAGAGTTCTGGAGTAAAAGTTTATTTAAAAAAATAATCTGCCCTGGCCAGTGTGGCTCGGTTGGTTGGAGCGTCACCCTGCGAACCGGAAAAATTCAATCTGGGTCAGGGCAGGCACGGGCCTGGGCTGTGGGTTCGACCCCCGGTTCAGGTGGGGGCAGGGTACACGGGGGACAACTGATCGATGCTTCTCTCTCCCTCTCTCTCCCCCTCCCCAACTCTGTAAAGTCAAAAAGCATCAGCCTCAGATGGGGATTTAAGGAAAATAAGTCTTAGAAGTGTGACGGTCACACTAACCTCGAAAACTCAGGGAAAAAAGACAAGTCTATTTGACTACGTAAAATGTTCAGCAAGATAAAAAAATGTACCCCCCCACCTCGAAAATCAAAAAGGACAACAGTAACCTGAGGAAAATGTTAGCAAAAAAAACATCGAAGTGCCAATTTCCTTTCTATGGAAAGAGGAGCACAAACCAGAAAGAACCGCCAAAACCCAACCGAGGAGAGGAAACCGACGCCACGCAAACCGCACGCAAACGTGAAATGAGGAGTCTGCCTTCACCTCTGACGCGGGACGTGCGTGTGGAGGGAACGAGCCGTCCGCCCGGGCGAAGACCCAGGGGGTGGAAGGCGCACGCACAGCGTGGCTGAGCTGCACTGAGACGGTACCAAGGGCGGCGGGACCTGCCCCGCGCCCGCTGCCCTGGAGCAGGCAGTCGGGCCAGCTCTGTCTGAGTCTGCACGCTGCGGGCCCATCGCCAGATCTAAAAGGATGCCCGCCCCGCTGAGCGCAAAGACATCCGCGGGACAGCTCACCGCTGCCCTCACTGCAGACTAATTACCCCCGTCACAGGTCCCTGTCCCGGGACCCTGCTCTGTCACTGAAACAACTGGGGGGCCCGGGAGGGGGTCGACGTGTCGTCTCCAAGATCCACTGAGAAATGAAAGAGCGGAGTGCGGACCCACAAGGCCAGGTCGGTATCTGCTTTAAGCAAGAGTTTGCATGTAGGCCTGTATGCGCCCAGGGAATTTCTGGAAGGATTCGCCGGAAGTCCCACAGTGGCTTCCTCTACGGGGAGGGACTCAGGTCTGGGACGCGCAGAGAGGAAAGGAGACTTCCAGGGTCAAGTTCATTTTCCACTCTTGTCTTGACCCAAACAGCAGCCACAGAACTCTTAACAGACCAGTGAATAAAAGCTGCTATTTTAAGACACGTCAAACCTATTTATGCCCACTGGACCACTAGAGACGGGATCACACACTGTATTGTGGAAAAGAAAAGTCACTTGAGTGTGTACTTACTACAAGGCTACCTAATCCAGAGGCCAGGGTCCTGGCACAGACACACAGGCCCACGGGACAGACGGCCGGGGACTGAACCTGCTTCTGGGGTCAGTTCCTCTACGGCAGAGCGGGCAAGAACATACATGGGAGGGAGAAGGTCTCTTCTGTACATGGTGCGGAGAAAACGGGCCAGATACACGCAAGAGAGAGAGGGGAGAGAGGGATGGATGGAGGCGGCTGTGCACTTTCCCACAGCACACACAAAAATACACTCGAAGGGGGCACGAACGCCTTTTTCACATCACCCTTGGCCGTACCTTTTCGGTCTGCCTCCTCGGACAAGGGGAACACAATGAAAAACAACCAGGGGGACTACCTGTTCCGAAACCTTGCATTTCCAACAACAAGATGGACCTGGGGGACATCATTCGGAGGGAAGCCAGAGAGAGAAAGACAAATACTGTGTGATCTCACTCACGTGCGGAATCTAAAAAAACCCCAAACCGAACTGAACAACACAGAACAGAAACAGGCCCGGAGCATGGAGAGCAGGCTGACAGTTTCCAGGGAGTGGGGGGTGGGGACAGGCATGGCCACAGGAGCGCACTGCTGTGAGGCGATGAACAAAAACCAGGGTCAGAAAGGTGTAAAGTTCTAAAGTTTCTGCAGATTCAGTGACCTCCATAAAATGAAGGGCCGGCTTACTGAAAGAGCCAAGTTCACCTGGTTTGTGGTGGCGCATTCACGAGGGTAGGGGACCCCTTTCTGGCAGAGAGACCCTATGTAGGACACTCTTCACTGGAATTGGGGGACCTCCTGTGGAGCCCCCCCAGGTTGCCTGGCACACCCCAAAGCCCACCAGGCACACTCAATGCCCCCCGAATCGACACGGAATGGGTCAACCCGTCTGGCTTTTAATCAATACTGAAATGCAATATTAACCCTTTCCGAAGAGACCAGACAGGAGGGCAGAGGAAGAGCCAGAAACCAGAGGCCCGGCCTGCATTCCCACCTGAGGTGCCCGCCCTCATCACCACTGAGCAATCAAAGCAGCAGGCCATCGGTCCAACCCTCAGAGGCGCACGCGAGCCCGCGGCTGCGGAGTAATAGGATGGGGTGGCCTACCCGGTTGGCAGTCCCCCAACTAACTGGACCCCCGACACCCGAGAGGGGCTTCGGCAGCACTCGCAGAAACAAACGCCCAGGGACCCCAACTCCCGGAGCCGTCTCCACCTCGAAGGTGTGTCTCTCTACACAGGAGAGTCTGCCCCACCCCTGAAAAACTAACACTATCATTTGCTTTGACAGAAAATGCAACTGTCCCCCCAACCCCCTGAGAGAGAAAACTCAAAGTCACTTACCAGCCACAAAACTTGGGAAGGAGGCCACCTTCTTAGTCTGTTGGGAGAGAAATGACGACAGGTATGAGCAGGTGGCTGTAAGTCAGACTGAGCCCCGTGACGACCGGAGCTCCCGGGAAGTCGGCCCCGGGAGGCAGCCAGTCTCATCCCGCACTGTGATGCACGGGAGGGCACGTGCACCCTGCTTCCGAGGGTAAACCAGCGTCCATAATTATGCTTAAAACTTAATTAGGGTGTGTTCTGGTCGGGTGGCTCAGTGGTTTGGAGTATCATCCTGTGCACCAAAAGTTTGCAGGTTCGATACCCGGTCAGGGCGCATGCTTAGGTTATGGGTTTGGTCCCTGGTCAGGGTGTATATGGGAGGTAACCGATCAATGTTTCTCTCTCACTTCGTGTTTCTCTCTCTCGCCCCTTCCTCTTTCTAAAAAATCAATGAAACCATACCCTTGGGTGAGGATTAAAGTTACCTGGGGGGAACCAAAGGCCATCATCTAACCCCTGGGGACCCTCAGAGCGGCGTGTTGGGGCCAGAGGGCACCAAGAGGCCATCGAACCCAGAGGTGCTCCCGCTGGAGGGTGTGAGAGCAGCCAGGCCCGTTTGTCAGAGAAAGACAAAGGGGACCAGGCAGCACCCTGAGAGGCCATCGTCACTGCATCAGCGTCACAGTCTCACCCAAACCGCGTTGCTACTTCTGGCCTCACGTGAGCAGCCCCTGCCATGGGACCCTTTTCTAGCAGAAAAGTCTCCTACCCTACATAGGAGACTTTTGTTTGTACGAGGTTGTTTCATAAACTCGTGCTGTTGGGAAGAACAGGGTTCCCAACCAGGAATGCTTCCTCCCCAAGGGGACACCTGGCGTTGTCACGACTTGGGGAGGGGCTGCTACTGGCATCCAGTGGTCAGAGACTGGGAGGCCACTCAGCGCCCCCAGGGCACAGGGCGGCTCCCCAACACGGAATGATCTGGCCCCTGATGTGCGCAGTACCACAGTGGAAAAAGTGGGGTTTAGAGCGTGTCAGACAATGGGGAGAATGAGCTTCAGTCCAATCTGGGGGGGCCCATGACCCCCCACCCGTGAACACATGTGGTATGAGCCCACACCAGCTGGGCCAGACACCCTCACCTCCTCCTCCTGCTCTGGGGACACCCAGCTGGGCTGGACCCCGGCAGCCTACCCAAAGGCACCCAACAGGCCAGCAGCCCCACCCCAGGCCCTGGGGCAAACGCTCCTCCCTGCAGTTACCTCCGGGAGGTTGTTGTTATCCGAAGGCCCGTTGAGGTCAGAGCGCTGCTGCTTCCGGGGCTGCTCTGAGCCATTGCAGACCTGGAAACGGGGAAGCACAAGATGAGGACCCTGCTCCCAACATCGGGAACGCAGGCCTCGGAGCAAGACCGCGGCTGCCAGGGGACGCGATCCTGTGAGCCGCAGGTGCACTCCTGTGCGCGCATCTCTGTGTGGGGCAGGGGCGCGTTTGCAGAGTCAGCCTTTTCTCTCACGACACGCGCCCTTTCATTCTAAAATACTGTTTAGGTCCTATTTTCTAATTTCATTAACTTGTTGTTTTGGATGTGGTAAAACACTCATAACATTTGCCTCCTCCACCACGTTAAAGCGCACAGTCCTGAGGCACCAGGTGTTTTTACCCGGTCACACAACTATCCCTGCCGTCTGAATCCAGAATCTGTTCATCCTGGTCCCAGCAGAGCTGAAACCTGTCCCCTCCCCCATGAACTCCCTCTCCCGTCCCACCCGGGGCGTCTCCACCCATCTGACGACTGGAAGAACCTCATGTAAGTGGAATCAGACACGGCGACAGAAGATTCTCATCGAGGTGGCCCGACGCGCCGGGGAAGAGGCCACGCGAGGACGGCTGCTCGCCTGGAACGCGGTGCCTGTGGCAAATGGCAGAGATGCCCCCTCTAGGGCGACACGGGGTCGCTGGGCCACTACTCACCCCAAACGCCTGCCAGCCCCACCCTTCCCTCTGCATCAGCGCATTCTCGCACTCCCTCTGGACCCCTTCGTCACCATGACAACCACGGCTCAGGCTGAAGATCCAGGGTTGTTTTCAAAGAAGCGGGGTGGGGTGGGGGTGGGGGGCTCATGCTGCTTTACCCGGGAACCCCATTTACGGCTCTGATTCTCGTCCCTGGGGACAGATGGGGGCTTGGTGCCCAGGGTGCAGCCTCTGAAATTCGCACGGTTAGGGGCCACGTGGATTTGGGGCTCTGGGCATCTCGGACGAAGGTGCTGCTTACACCCGTTCGTGCTTTCTCCAAGTCCCAGCAGCTGGCACCCCTCAGGATGAGATACCACCAAGGGCCCCTGGTCCCCACAGCCGACAGGGAACGCAGGCCACGCCCCTCTCCGATAGCTACGGTGCCCCCCACCCTGAAGGTGGCAAGTGAAGGGCAGGCTGTGCGCACGTGGCAGGACCCCCCACATGTGGCTCTGAAAACGTAACAACCGGTGCCTCAGACCGGCCCGGCCTGCCGGGACCGGGGACAGCGGCTCGGCGCAGGGCTGGCTTTTGCCCGTAAAACAAAGTAAACTGATTTGAATAAATTGTTCTAATAAACATCTTGGCTCCAGTTCGTGAAACGCAAGCTGGGAATTTTTTTTTTTTTGACTGTCAGTTCTGATCCTGTCTGTTCGATCTCACCGCAAACACAGGGACGTAACCCGTGTGGCTCCGAAAGAAGGCGCAGCCAGCGTGCGCGCACCCTCTCACGCCCGCGCACGGCCTCATACGCACACGTACGCCCTCACGCCCGCGCACGGCCTCATACGCACACGCCCTCGCACGCCCGCGCACGGCCTCATACGCACACGTACGCCCTCTCACGCCCGCGCACGGCCTCATACGCACACACCCTCACACACCCTTCCTAAAATCACGCCTCCCTCCGTCCAGCTCCGGAGGGGTCAGCTGGGGCCCTCTGCGCGCACGATGAGCGCTCCCCACGGGGCCAAGCCGAGGCCACGAGCCCACAGGGTCAGACTGTGGGTCCCGCCCGGTCCCAGGACACCTTTCACGGCCCTTCACCCCGTCCCCAACGTACGGCGGGCTCACAGAAAGGACAACACTGCTTTTCTTCTGTACCTCTCACGATTCGGGTCACTCCTGTGGTATCTAATTGCAGGAGAGCGGGAGCTCCGATCAAGACCCTTATTCTTCTCACAGGCGTCCCCACGGGGGAGACCGTATCGTGTCAAGGCACCTCTGCGGTTTGGAAGAACCAGGACAAACCCACTGGGAAACGAGCCGGCACCTGCCAACGGGAGAGGCCCCTCCCCACCTCCCGCCACGGCCAGGGGTGTCGTGGAGCACACCTGTGCCAAACAGCTATTCTTCGTCTACCTGAGTGTCAAGTTGAACTGCGCGTCTTGCCAGGACTGGCTGGATCTGGCTGCCACCTCCCCTCCACGGAAGCCCCGTGTGGCCCAGACAGGGCCTGGCACTGCGTCCAGTCGGCCGAAATCTCCGCCACCACTGACCTGCGCCACCCTGACATAGGGGGACGACGCTCTAACAAAGGCAGCCACCCGGCCAGGGCCCGTTAGTGAAATCTTGCTTCTTCGAGCGTAACCAGAACCCTGAGCTTGGTTGCCAGGGGGGTAAAATGCTCGGCCGCAGCAGAGAGGAGCTAACAATTCCTCAAGAGCCAAAGGCTGAACGCCCTGGCCACGCAGCACCCGTTACGCGGGACATGCTACAGAACGAGACCAGACTGCACCCAGTTCTGTTCGATTCTCTGATGAGAAAAAATGTGCACGCCCCCTGTCTACAATAGTGGGGCGGCCAGCAGGGCTGCTGCGCCCCAGATTCCACCGCTGGGCCGCTGCCTCCGCATGTCCCCACCCCGCTGATTTGAAGGCAAGAAGCCCCATGTGAGCAGTTTGCTGCCCGCGATGCTCCGAGGCAGAAGTGGGCTCACGCCAGCGTCCCCCACGTCCCCGACCGCCACAGGCTCAGCCTTGAGCCCTGCTCTCACGTTCCCAGAAACCTCCCCTGACAGGCGAGAAATGGACCAGGAAGCAAAGGGGTAAAAGGGCAAAAGAAAACCCTCCCTCGCAGGACGGCTCCACTGCCTGGGGCGCTTTCCGCGCTGAACTTCCACCAGTCAGCGCTGGCGCAGTTCCCAGCAGGAAAGAGCCAAATCCACACTCCGATCTCCCAGGATGAGGGCTTCTCTGCCTCGGTCAGTGTTACAGGCCCTAAATAATGAATGGACCCGCCTAGGGCTTCCAGCATCAACGCAAAGTCCTGCAGCGCCTAATTTGAGAAACGCACTTAGCCGGCGAGTATGTAAAGATACCAACGATCCCATTAGCATCTATTAAATTTACCTTCTGAACTGCTCTGAACGTGCCAAAGGAATATTCACTTCTCCAGAAACTGGGGGGGGGGGCACAGAATTGGCTGTCACGTGACCGGCGCACTTGGCAATGTAACTCTGCCACAAGGACACCAAGCGGGACCCAAATGACCTGCAGCCATGTCTGCCGTGAGCGGCAAACCCCAGCGAGTGTCGGTCGGCCCGGAAAGCTCTCGCCTGTGTGGCACGGGGTCAGCCCCACTTGTTTCTTCCCAACTGCAGGGAACACACAGGAAGCGGAGTCTGGGGCACCCAGTGTCAGGTGCACCGTCCAGGGCATCAGGCGCATTTGCACGGCTGTGCAACCACCACCACCATCTGTCTGTCCAGGACAGGAAACCTTTCACCTTCCACAATGGAACCCCGACCCCGTGAGACCGAATTCCCCGTCCTGCCCCTTGCCCCCCCTTCTGTCTGTCCCTGTGAGGTCCGCTGCTCTGGACCCCTCCCAAGAGCGCGCTCTGCAGGGTTTGTTCACATGATGTCTGCACGCTTCCTCTCGGCTGGAGCACGAGCCAGGGCGCCCTCCTTTTAAAGGGCGGACGAAATGCTGTTTCATCTCAGAGCCTTTCTCTCCTGCTTCCTCTCCTACCTGTGGCACGAATCCCACAGATACCCAAAACAAAACAAAAAAAACAACAACAAAAAAACCCCAGGCCGCGAGCTCTCAACGTGGGCCAAACTGCCCAGTGTTAATGAGTTAGAATCACTGGGGTCCATTTGCTCTTTTTCATTCTTCCTGGTGCTTGGAAGGGCGAGTAGAGACGAACCATGAGGAAGGTGCTAAGCAGCAACTTGCCGTCCCCATGTCTCCCGTCACTTGCAGGTTTCATATGGCAGGAGGCGCCCTGCGCTGCCCGTGTTCTTGCTTTGGAGCACGTCTCGGGCCCTAGGGGCTGGGTCATCCCTCCCTTCCAGAAGGCGAACTTTCCTATGTCTGAAGGTGGCCGGTGTGCTGGCCTTTGTGTGCTGGGGTTGCGGTGACCGAATGAGTGAACGAACAAGTGAATGAGCGAATGAATGAAGCAGGGACTAGACCGTAGCAGAGCGGAGTGTCCATTTTTGGTCACTACGACAGAATGAAGTGGGGGCAGTGCCCCAAAGCACGGAAACCCTGAGCGACTGGCCAGGGAGGGGGTGGGCCCAGGGTGAGCCCACCTGATGGGGACTCTGGGGGGCGAGTCTGTGTTGCTGTGCCTGACGGTCAGGAACAGGTGTCTCCTGCTGCTGCTGCGGCTGCTTTGGGGGAGGCAGGCAGGAGACCTGAGTGCAGGTGGGAACTGTCGGACTGGGCCACCAGGCCCCAGGGGCACAATCAGAGGCCTCAGCAAGTGCTGGGGCTGGTGAAGGCGGACGGAGGAGGACAGATGGGCACCCCCCACCCCGCCACACACACACACACACACACACACGTGTGCGTGCCGGCAGCCACATTCCCCACACAACCCGACCTTGTGCCCCGAGCTGCTCTGCCCAGTGTCGCCCAGGTCCAGGCTCTAGCTCAGGCTCACTGGCCCGCAGGCAGCGCGGGGCGGAGGGCAACGTGGGGCGGGCCCCACCACGCGTCAGCACCAGGGACAGCGGCACGCGGCCTTCTCAGAAAATGCCTCTTAAATGGATGGCGACCAGATGCAGGCCTGGGCCAGACACCAGCCCAGGCCGCACACTTTCTCCTGGCCCCTCAGAGCCAGGCAGCGGGCTCCCACGAGCCCCGTGCTGAGCGTCCTTCAGCCCCCACCGTCCAGGCCCTGGAGGGAAAAGGACTGGCCTCTCTTCTGTGACAGCTGCCTGTGGAACCAGCCCTGGCTGGTTCTGGGTCCACCCTCGGCCCAGACAGCCCCGGGGTTGGCTGAGGCAGGCCCCACAGTTCTTGGGTAGCCGCCTGGCACCACAGGCCCGTGTCCTCCTGAGCCACTGACCAGCGTGGGCTTCAACTTCGATGCTCGGGGTGCAAACCTGCTGCCTGCCATCGTCATGGTGTCACACCATGGGCGAGAGAGCCATGGGGGCATGACACATCTCTGAGTCTCACACTCCGCAAGGTGGTCTCTCTTCCTGAACAGGGGGTGTTTCTAAAAACCCTCCCCCTGAGCCCTGCACTTGGCACGGAATCACCTATGACTCATGGGTTCTGTCAGCCACCTGTGGCTCTGGCCCCTGGGACGCGTGTGGGGCGGAGGTGCCTGGTCCCCACCTGTCCTCACAGGTGCCGCTGCACTACCCCTCCCACCTCTGCCCTTGCGACCCCCCCCCAGTGCTACCCCGAGGGGTCTCCCCAAACCACCTGGCTGGGTGCAGCCTGCCGATGTCCCTGCCACTTCTGCCGAAGGCCCTTCTCTGTCCCTCTCTCATCCCCAGCCTCAACCCAAGTCCCTCGCCTTCCGCGTCACATCCTGCCGGGTCAGCTGAATGAGCAAAGTCCCCCCTCGGAGACCCAGAGCGTCTCCGCCATCACCCACGCTGCAGACCGCCCCCGGAGGCTGGCCCGGACCTCGTGGCCCCACCGGGCACCACTCTGGCATTCTCGGCCCCACCAGACGGGGAGCCCCTGCGTGTCCATCTCCCCTAGAACGGGGCTTGCAGTGCGGGCCTGTGCCCCTTCCAGCCCTGCACCCCCAGTACCTAGCACGCGGCAGGTGCCGATCTGCATGGGGGAGGGGGAAGGGGATGCAGCCGCCTGGCGGCTCTGAGGGGCAGCGGGCGTGAGCTCCGGGCAAGGGCAGCGCCTCGGACGGCATCTGGGGCCCATGAGAGCCTGAGTCACACCGCAGTTCCACTGTGTGTTAAGGTGGCTACAACGCATTGATTTTTCTTGGGTTTGCTATTGTCAGCGGGCTCTTTCTGGAAAGCACTTGGCTGGGCCGAGAATAAGCGGAAATCATGAAAACCCCAAATAATCAAAACACACCATTTGTTTGCCATCCAAACATCACGAAAAGCAAATGCTTTTGGCTGGACTGAAACCTGGCGTGGGGCCGGCCCACGGGGGCAGAGACCATGGAGTCACCGGGGCCCAAGCGACAAGTGCCCGCAGGGAGAACGCAGGCACCGAGCAGGTGCTTTCAGAGTGCCTTACCTCGCGACAGACGCCACAGGGGTGCACGGGACAGGCCACCCTCTGAAAGGACCAGTCCAGGCCTTGCCAGAGCCAGACACACAGCAGCCGGCCCTGGCCACACACCGACCTGCGGAACTAGGGCTGCTGGTGCTGGACCGACAGGCGGTTACTGGTGCCCCGGGGGCGCAGAGGGCACTGCTCGGAGAACCCCCACCATGCAGGTGCCCGAAGACTAGCCAGGTCCCCAAAGCACTTCTCGGAGCCGGGGGACCCGCGCCCGGCCAGGGTCTTCCATCCACACTTGGCACCTGGCGGCCGGCTACCAGGGGACCACAGAGCCGGGCAAGAAAATGCCAATTCAACGCAGATGTTCCACACGACTGTGGGCAAACACAGCTTCCACGGGAGAGGAAACACTCTCCACACCTGCGTGTCCAGGGGAGGGTGCACGCAGACAGGTGACGAGTCGATGATGCCACCCACACGGCCCGAGCAGAACACCCCGTGGACAGTGAGTCAAGAAAACTACACAGCGAACAGGGAATGCACGGGAGGCAGTTCTGCGGGGTGGCGGCAGAGCCACACCTGGGCTGCAACGGTGTCATTGGTTCTCGGGGGACCGAAGAGGGGGACGCTGGGAAATGAGAAGGACCAGCTGTGGGGTGGCGGGGACAACAGAGATGGCTGTGAGTGCTCAGAAATATCGGTGACGGGACTTTGTTTTATTCTTCCCTGAAGACACGTCCACTGCGGGTTAGACAGAGAGGAGGGAGAGAGAAACATCGATCGGTTGCCTCCCCACCAGGGACCAAACCCATGACCTAAATACGTGCCCTGACTGGGAATCGAACCTGCAACCTTTTGGTACACAAGAAGAGGCTCCAACCAAGGGAGCCAAACCAGCCAGGGCCAGGTGTTTGTTTTTGTTTTTGTTTTGTTTTGTTTAACAGCAGCCGTCACTCTCAACTGGGCCACAGTCACCATGTGGACAGCGGTGGGGATGGAAGAGGCTCCATTCAGGGAGGCGGGTTGTGGGTGAAGCCGGGGACCAGCACGCACTCCCGGGCAGCTTCCTGTGCCGGGTAACCTTGCTTCGGAGATGGTGCCTGTCGCCAGCAGCTCTTCTGGATCAAACTCCAAAGAGCCCCCTGGGTCTGCTGGACTCGAAGGCCCTGGCACACCGGAGCCCTTGGGAAGAGGTTTGGTCACACACGTTGGGGGGCCCTGGGAGGCCCCGGCCTGGAAACTGCCAGGCCCCTCAAGAAATGACACATGAATGAATGAGCGAATAAAACCAAAAAGCTCTGTAAGAGCTGACCAGCCTAAACCGCCCTCCGGCAGCTGGATTAGAACATTTGCTTCAAGGTGACAAAATTTAGGGGCAGAAGTCACTGCTCTCCTACTCAGTGGCCCTTCTGGAAGAAGGGACCGCCTCCTCAACTCTCAGCGATGGCCCAGGACGTCCCCCACCTCCCTCGGCCCTTGGAAACCACAGCTCCCCCCCCCCCCATTCATTTGCTCCCATTCATTCCCAGCGCCTCCAAACCGGAGTTCTGCACCCTTCACTCGAGTCAGTGTCTGGCTCGCAGGAAGCCGGAGCACGGCCTGCCCGCTCTGCACGACACTCTGAGGGCCCTTTCTCTCCACAAGAACTTCGTCAGGAAAATCGCTGGTTACAGCACAGAGCAGGGCGTCACCTGCTTTGGGAAGCCACGTAGACCATGGGGACCGTCCTCATTGCTGGGGGACTGGCCCAGCTCCGCTCAACCCTGCAGAGGGCCGGCGGTGTCTTGGCCTGAAGCCTGCGGTCCCTGAGCTGCCTGCCCCTGGGGGGAGTGCCCCAACACCCCACAGGCCTGCAGCACAGGCAGAATTGCCACAAACGACAATTTACGCTTAACAGCCTTCAGAAAGAACTGAAGACATCAGATGCATGGACCGAAAATCTAACAGTGCACCCAGACACCTCATCCCCCAAATGCTAGCTCTCTGTGTTTTGCGCACACACGCGCTCTTCTGGGAACCAAATAACAAGGCAAGCTTTAACGCACGGTGAAAGTGGCTCATCTGTGTGGCCCACAGAAGCAGCCACACAGAACTCTTTCCAGGAGTCTCAGAAACACAGCTTTTCGGGTGCGTTTATAAGAAAACTCACTTCACTTTGGTGTAATTAAAAAGCAGGGCTCTGCTCAAATCCATCGGGCTCGTGAGCAACCACGGCTTCTCCCAGACTCTATGCCCCCTTCACACGTTATTTTCAGCCCGGGCACGTGCAGCCAACCACCCAGCACACCAGGGTGCCGTGTGGAGCGGCGCCAGGATAATAACGACCCACCCCCTGGAAATGCGCTGGGGCTACTGCCCCCCACACTGCTGTGGCAGGGGTCCCGCACCCTCGCCCACGTCCTGCCGGCGGAAGTGAGGGTCTCAGGGACCACCTGCACCACCAGCAGGTCTGGGACAGCGGGCTAGGGACTGGGGGGTGGGGGGGTGCCTTTGGGCAGCACCAGACTGCTGATCAGCCCCCCTGAGGAGCCTTTCCTGGCGCTTACTGACACAGCAGAGAGGTGACCCTGAGTGACCAGAATGCACATGCATGCACATAACGGAACGTGCAGAACTAAGAACGAGTTTGGAACAGCGGGCCATGCCAGAACATTCTGTGCCCTCGGGCCCCCCACCCCCTCCCTGGGGACTGCTGGAGTCCTACCTGCTCTTGTGGCCACTGTGGCCTCTCCTCGGGAGTCCTGGGTTTGGTCTTGAAGCCTCTCTGGACGTCCGCTGGGAGCTTGGCTTCAGGGGGCAGGTTGAGTGACTTGGGCCTCCCCTCATGTCTGTTGGGGCCACCACGGCTGGCCTCCCCCGGCCGGCAGGCCTCCATGGAGCCCCCGGGTCCCGGCTCCGGGCCCCGCACAGGCGCGTGCTCGGGGCTGGCCTCCCCGGCGCTGGCGATGCTGCTCATGCTGAGGCTCATCTTGATCTCGGCCACGATCTGGTCGATGTCCTCCTCCTGGTCCTCCACATCGCCGGCGCTACGCCTGGGGCGGCAGGGAGACACGCTGCCTGAGTTCCCGTTGGCCTCCGGAGCATAGTAGTCCTGGTAGACCTCCTCGCTGGGGCCATAGTGCAGCCCGTCCTCCTGGTCCGCGGCCCCCAGCACAGAGGCCTCGTCCTCCGGGACCGGGAGGCGGCCCCCCGGGTAGCCCGGGCTGCCCTCGTGCCCGCGGCCGCAGGGGCGCGCGCCGGCCGAGTCCGTCCACTCCTCCTCCACCGCCTCCTGGCACTCATCCGTCTCCAGGGGGCGCGCGCCGTGCGTCAGGTACCCATCCGCGTCGCAGTCCACGCCCTCCAGGTAGCTGTCGTCCTCCGGGCAGTAGCGGATGTAGTAGGTGACGCCCTCCTCCTCCTCGGGGAGGCCCTCATCGTAGTCCTCCTCCTCCGAGGTGTTGTTCACATAGTCGGAGCTGGAGTCCCCATCGGGGCTGTGCGCCAGGCCGTCTTGCACTGCGGGCGCAGGGCTCTCGGACCGCAGGTCGGCCAGGTCCAGACTCGGGGGTGTGTAGGCCTCCAGCGGCAGCTCCATGTCCTGGCTCGCAGGCTCTTGCCCATGGGGCCCGGCGCCTGGCCTCGCGCGGTGGTCCAGCATGCTGCTTGCTGTGCTCTGCCGCTTGCGGTTGGCCATGGCGGGCGCTCACGCGGCCATCGTCACCGGGAGGCAGCCACTGCGGGAGGGACGATGGAGAGAACCGCATCAGCACCGCACAAAGCCACAGGGACCTACAGCAGCGCCTCAGAGCCCTGGTAACGAGCACACCTCTGCTCACACAAGGGTGTGTCCCCGCCCCGGCTGGCGGTCCATCAGGAACAGTGCATGGCCAGGCCGGAGAGACAGCAGGGCACGTGGGGCCGGAGGGGAGGGGGAGGCTGCAGGACGGCCCCCACCAGCCCCACCCCAGGTCTGGGCGGCCCATGCGACCAGGAAAGTGGTCACAGGGTCAGGTGGTGTCTCTCAGCACTGAAGAGCAGTTTTCATTCAGAAGACTCGATGAAGACCCGAGAGGTGACGCTCCACACCTCCAGAGTCTAAAGCCACTCACCCTCGAAGACCACCACGCCTCCCTGTCCCTGGCAGGCCAGGGCCTCACCCTCCCCAGTGCACGAGGTCTCCCCTCCCCCCAAACCGAGCAGCAGTCGCTGGGAGAGGACATTGGCCAGGGACCGTCCACGGAGCGCCACACAGAGGCGGATGCTGAGCCCTGGCCCCTGCGGCTCCTTCGCAGGTGAGGTCCGGGGAGGCGACCCCCCAGGAGCGCAGCCACGCCTCTGAGGGGCGCGCAGAATTACATGAAACGGGGCCCTCTGGATATGGGAGAGAGAGAGCCCTCCTATTAAAGATGAAGACCAGAGGCCCTCGGGGAGGTTCGGTCCTCATTCACCCTCAGGCCTGGGGCGGGACACAAGGGAGAGTGACCCACATGGGCCTCCACCGCACGAACAAACGCTCGCTTTTTCTGCTGCCGAGAAAGCCGAGAAAGATTCTAATGCCACTTGAAGGAGAGAATGACCCATCAAGGTGTGTGTCTTGGATGGGGAACAGAGGCGCCGCCCACTCAGGCGGCTGGAAGGGGCGGGGCAGGGGCGCTGTTCAACACGGGTCGGGTTTCCGATGTGCAAGGCGGAAAAGTCCTGGAAAGTGTTTCCCAAGGAGATGAGTCTCATTAGCACTGTTGACGTGTACACTCGAAAACGGTTAAGATGGTAAATGTCATGGGTTTTTTTTAACCACAATCTTTATAAAAAGTATATTACAGCCGAAGCAGGCTACAAGGAAGTGTTTAACCTTCCATTCCTTAATCAGCAGAGGAGGAAGGATGGAAAAGTGAACAATCCAGAGAGCCACTCACTTGCAAGTATTTTGAAAAGAACAGCAAATTAAACCCCAAATAAAGCTGCAGGAAGAAAATAAGAACTATAAGAGCAGGGGGAAAAAAACAGAAAAAAACGCATAATAGAAAGAAGTCAACACACTCAAATGTTGATTCTTGGGAAAAACTAATATCAAAAATCCCCAGCAAGACAGGAAAACAGGGGCAGGAGGGGAATGATCCTTTCGTTTAGTAACAGCATCAGAAATGAAGAGGCGCAGTCACTTGTAAAAGACAGGAATGGATATTACGGATTTAACACCAACAATTGAGACAATTTTTATGAAATGAACAAATTGCTGAAATGCAATTCAGCAAAACGGACACTAGAAGAAATTTAAAAATCCAAGTGGTTCTGTATTTCCTAAAGAAATTAAACCTCTCATTAAAAACCTTCTTCTCGAATAAATTCACACCCCAGCGGCTTCCCACTTGAATTCTTCCAAACATTTAAGTGAATAAACAAACAAAAAACCGATACCAATTGTACCCCAGACCTTCCAGGGAACATAAAGAGAGCCTGTGCTCCCCGGTTCGCTCTAAATGGCCACCATTATCTTGGTGCCAAAACCAGACTTTGACATTAAGTGAAAATAAAATGACAGGCAAATCCACTTTAAACAGAGTAACAAAGAAACTACTGAAAAAGGATCAAATTGAACAAGCCATACATAAACATCGTATCATATCCCAGCTGGGCTTAGCTCAGGTATGCAAGGTGACTTTAACATTGAGACCTCCATCACCGGGCAGGAGGGAAGGCTGGGGGTGGGACCAAAAGCTGCCGCGGGGCAGCACTAAACATGGAATCAGACTCTCGGTGCAGAAAGAAGACCAGAAATGAACGGCGCAGGGCCAACTAAATAATCACTGACAGCTGTACGGAAGTACCTCCGAAAATTACAAATGGATCTGCCTTATGACCAGGCGATGCCACTTCCGGGTATGTATCTGAAGGAACGCAACACACCAACTCAAAAGAATAAATGCCCCCCCTGTGTTCACTGCAGCATCATTTGCAATAGGCAAGATCTGGAAGCTGCCCGAGTGCCCATCAGTGGATGGGTGGATAAGACAAATATGGGACATCTACACAGTGGAATGCTGTTCGGCCGCCAAAAGGAAGAAAATTTCACCCTTTGCAACAGCAAGGAGGGACCTGGAGACCATGATGCTGAGTGAAATGAGCCAGTCAGAGAAAGACAAAGACCATATGATTTCACTCGTATGTGGAATCTAATGAACAAACTGAACTAAGAAGCGAAATAGAGACAGATTCATAGAGAGCAGGCCGACAGCGTTGGGGGGAAGCTGGGGGGGGGCGTCTGTGGCAGAATTGATCAAAAAAAAGAAAAAAGGAGAAAGAACTCATAGGCACAGACGACGGTGCAGTGACTGCAGAGGGGAGGTGGGCGGGTGGGGGCAGAAGAAGGTGTGAGGAGATAAATGGTGATGGAATAAAAACAAAACAAAATCAAATCATTTAAATGGAAGAAAAATGAGTCTTGGCGTGTCACTGACGCCATCCATAAAAACCCCACACTGCGCGCCCTGCAGACTTAAATGCGACATTTAAACAATGAAGCTTGCGAGGCTGACGCAGGAGGTTTCCTTGGGCGGTGCATGGATCTCCTAAAAAGGGTGCCCAGCGCAACTGCCTGAAAGGAGAGCTTCCTGCGCCAGGCTTCTCTCCATCAAGAGCTGCATCACAAAGTGAGGGAAAAGGTGAGAAAACATTGCCAACACGTCCATCAGACCCACATCTTGGGGACCGAACGTGCAGAGGAACGGGACAAAGCACCAAGAACCTGACACAAGAAAGAGCCAAAGGACAATAAAAATGCCCAAAAAGGACACTGAACATCATTCGTCTTTGGTGAAATATGAATTAAAACCAGAGACCCTGCCTCCATGTCCACCAGAAAAAAACTGAAATGACTGACCACTGCCATCGCTGGCTGGAAGTGGAGCTCGAGCACCTGCGGGTGGGATGGGATTGGTCACGCACACTTCGCAACTGACCGGCTGTGGTCACTGAAATGCCAACCCCACGCCCACACCCTGGGGCCCACACAATCCAAAACAAGGCTTTGGAACGATGATGAGCCCCACGGCCCCTCCCTCTCTGTCCGTCACTCTGTCAGCAGGTGCAGTCGGTCCCTGCAGGGCGGGGACCTGACTGGGAGGCCGGAGCCGGCACCACAGTGTGGGCAGGGCCTCTCCGCCAGTGTTGTCCTCAGATGCCATTTGGAGCCGGGGCCCTGCCTGCTGCCGAGGCCCCTGGAACACGGCCGTGCCTCCTTCTCTCACTCGTTCTCTAAGAAGGAGGGCGGGGGAGGGACGTTGATGTGCTGTTCCCTTACTGACGCATCCGTTGGCCGATTCTTGTGGGTTCCCTAGCCAAGGATCGAACCCGCAACCCTGGCGCATCGGGTTGATGCTCTGCCTAAGTGAGCTGCCCGGCCAGGGAGCACTGCCGTAATGTCTGGGGGCCAGGGTTCCCGGTGCCCCTGGGGTCAAGGCCACTTGGTGAGGATGGCCAGGCTGGGATCACTTTTGACAGCCCAGCTTCTGGAAACAGGGGCCAGCCACCTTCTCTCTCTCTCTCACACACACATGCACACACACACACACACACACACACACCACACACACACCCAGACTGGGACACACAGACTCTTGGTCACACGTTCTCACACACACTCACACACAGTCTGTCCTGCTCAAACCACCAGAGAAAAGCTGCCCACCCCCCAAGGCCAGGCAGCAAGGGGACCCAGGCCCAGTGACAGTGACACCCAGACAACAGTAGGAGGGAGAAGAGACTGGAAACTGCGTCCCAGAATGGCGGGAGGGCCACACACTGGGCTCCGAGGAAGAACTGAGGCAGGGACCCCAGGTAAGGCCGTCGCTGTAGCTGGGCTTCCCACAATGCCCTTCGGAGCCGGGCTCCATCCCCGTGCACTTGTGGTGAAAGCTCAACATAAAAGTGGCCATCTCACCCCGGCCGGTGTGACTCAGTGGGCCGGGCGTTGTCCTGCAAAGCAAAAGGTCGCTGGTTTGATTCCCAGTCAGGGCAGAGGCCTGGGCTACGGGCCAGGTCCCCCAGTAGGGGGCAGGCAAGAGGCAAGCACACACTGATGTTTCCCTCTCTCTTTCTCCCTCCCTTCCCCTCTGTCTAGAAACAAGTATTTTTTTAAAAAGTGACCATTTGAACTTCGACAAGTGTCCCGTCTGGGTGCAGGGAGGACATTCCGCTGTGCCGCCATCGCCACCATCCAAACCCAGACTGCCTCTCACCCGCACGACTGAACTCTGCCCCACTGAACGCAGCTCCCGGCCCCTCCCGCCGTCCTTCACTGCACAAAACACAGAGGCACCGGGTGGCAAAGCCACTTTCCCGGCAAAGCAGGGAAAGTGTCCTCCCCTGAAAATGTGCCCACCCAAAGCAGGTCTGTGTGTCCTCCCCTGAAAATGTGCCCAGTGACTGAAAGACATTAAGTGACTTGTCATCCAGGAGAGGAATGGGCCCGTCACAGCCCCAGATGGCACAGAAAGACCCCCTGCCACACACTCGGCCAAGCGAAGACCCCAGCAGCACCGCCCTGGGAGACTTAGGGTTGCCGGGCATGTTGCTTAGCAACCGGCCTGCACACAAGCTACAGAACGAGAATCATTCCGACTTCAATCGGCCTCTCCTTGGGCACCCGGGAGCATGTGTGGTGAAAACCAGTGTGGGCCCTGGGCAGGTTGCTCAGTGGTTAGAGGGCCGTCCTGATACACCAAGGTTGTGGGTTCCGTCCCCAGTCAGGGCACACCCAGGAATCAACCCGTGAATGTGTCAGGAAGTGGAACAAGAAATAGATGTCTCTCTCTCTCTAAAAATCAGTAAGTAAGAAAGAAGGTTAAATTGGTTTGGAAGATGACAAGTTAGACATAATTAGGTGACTTCCCTGCAGGATCTGCGGAGGGCTGTCCTAGGGTGCTCTGGGCTCTCAGACGTTCAGCGTGTCCCGGCCTGAGCTTCGCGTGGGCTTCCAAGCCCCCAGGCTCCTCCTAAGACCCCACAGACACGGCTGAGATGCCGGCTCAGGCACTCATGTCGTTACTCAGAACGGGAGAGAATTAATTACATCTGAACATCGTTAATAAACAGTCACACCCAGAAACGGCTCACCTTCCGGTTAATCACACTGACGATGCTGGGCTCAGCCTAGTAGCAGGTTGTAGGGCTATTTTCTTAACACAGTTTTCATTTTGTAATGAAAAAAAAAGCAAAACAAAAGGTGTTGGTGAGTTTTTTCTCTCCTAATGTGCAACTAAGAAAAAAATTTAGGTGGCAGAGCAGGGATTTTGCAGCATTTGAAACCACACACACCAAGTCCCGAGGCCAATGTCAGCGGCCCACTTCTCGTCCTGTCTCTTCCTCCTCCGAGGAAGGAACTGAGGACTGGGGGCAGCTCCGGCGGGCTGTGCGCACTGCACTCACCACGCCCCCAACACATCGCCAGCCCCACTTCACAGATGCGACCGGCGGCCTCTGGGAGTGCGAGCGGCCAGAGCCCCGTGGCGACCACGGCTGTCCCCTCCGCGCACCTGCACACGAGGCCCCGGACCGGAGGCCCCACAGGCTGGCTCACGGGCAGGTGCTCAGCACACGGAGAGACCAGCGGCCAGGCAGGGAGGCGGGGGCCGGCGGCAGTGTGGCTCGAATGTCCTGCGAGGGCCCCAAAGAGGGCAGCCGTGAGCTCCGCCTCTCAAGAGGGAGAGAAAACCTTGGACACGGAATCGGCGCCACAGCCCTGACAAGGGCCGTGTGGACGCCGCTGCTGGCCACGCACAGGCCCACCCTGGAAGGGACGCCGGGCAGATGCCCTGGGGCGCAGCACCCCCCAGGCACCGAGGGGCCGTCTGCAGCGGGTCTGCCCTCTCCTCCCAGAGTCAGTGACGCTGAAAAACGCCCGTCAGCCCTGAGGGGCGTGGCTCAGTGGGTTGGGCGTCATCCCACAAAGCGAAAGGTCGCGGGTTCAACTCCTGGTCAGGGCACCTGCTGGGTTGTGGGGTCAGTCCCCACTCGGGGTGTGGACAAGAGGCAAGCGATCGATGTTTCCCTCCCTCTCTTGCTCCCTCCCATCCCCTCTCTCTAAAGAAAATAAATTAATAAATAAATGTTTTTGGATAAAGAAAAGCACCCGTCTGGCTGCTACACTTCTCAGGGAAGACACGCGCCTTTCTGCGGGAAGCCTGGACAGAATCGTGAGGAGTACTGTCACTTGGGTGACGTCACAGCCCAAGGCAGCCGGGCCAGCGCCATCGGGAAGGCCCGCAGAGGGCCTCTTTTGGGCTCACAAAGTAAAAAACACCTCAGACCTCAGAGGCGCCCACAGCACTGCCGTGGCTGTGTCAGAATGAGGGACAGCCCCGGTCCCCTGGAGAACGACGTTGAGAAGCCAACTTCGTGGTGGTACGAGGTTTGGGGTGGCGGTGTGAGCCTGGGCTTCACGGGGATCGGAACGGCCCTGTCCTCGGTGAGACCGCTTCCCGTGAGGGGCAGCTCCCTCACCAGCCGGCCTTCCTGCCACTCACAAGAGAAACCCCCTCCCTTCCCCGACCCCCAGTGCATGAGCATTTCCACCACCGAGGGTGGTTGAGGCATTTGAGGCCAAAAGATGTTTACGACTCGAAATAGAACATCAGACAGGACAGAAAGGCCTGAGAACCTGAGAACAGGAAAATAAACTCACCAACTTTAAAAACTGACAGCTGAAAAGTACTCCTCTATTTTTTTGCCCAAACACATCAAAAATCACCAATTCCTGTGAATTCTGTCTGATGCGGGGTTGGCTGTTCGACATCTCTCCAATACCTTATATGTGTGCCCCCACCCCCAAAGCCACCCAGACCCTGCCCAGGACATCTGCGGCAAGGCCACCGCCCAGTGTGATGGCAGGGGACCCCACCCAGGCACCGCACGGCGGCCACCTGGATGCGGTGGAGACACGGAGCTAGTGAAAGAGAGGAAGGCCCCGCTGCCCGCTGGCGCCCCATCCAATCCACTGCTGCTTCCTCCCCCGAACGCTGAAGAACCCACAGGACGCGCCAGAAGCTCCGGCCTTCTCGCCTCTTCTTCAAACGCCCCCAGTCGTGCTGGCCTCCCACCAAGCCGCCGGCATGTCCCTGGACCAAGAAGGAAAGCGCCCACTGGTCTGCAGTCCCAACCCACCTCCTGCAGGTCTCCCCTGGACCGGTCCCTCCGCTGCCTACAGAGACCTGTGCAAATCTGCTCCCACAGGCCCTGCCGGGACAAGAGAAAAAGCCAAACGCCGAAGGTGGGTCGGTGGGACGGGGGGGTGACAATGCAGCCTCACCCACAGGGTGGCAGCCACACAGGTCGCCCCTCGTCCCCGAGAAGCTCAGGAAAGGTCCTTCTAACCAAAGTCACAGTCTTCCACTCAGGGTCCCGGTCACTTCTCAGTGCTGGACTGCCAGCATACTGACCGTGCGGCCCAAATTTGGCAGTGAGAGGTGTCCCAGGGCACCTCTCGCTGGAGATAGGGACCTACTTTTGATATAGGAGCCTGGGTGGGATGACTCGAACATGAATTCAGGGAGGAGACTGATTTGCAGAAGCGGGAGGGTGAGAAGGAGGGGTGGGGCACTGCTGTCTTCCTGGGGTGGTGGTGGGGCGCCCAGAGGTGGGCCCAGGGCTCACCGGGTCCTCAGCTGTGGGCCCAACCCCAGCCTCAGATGCCCGGCACTCAGACAAGTGCTGAAGCACACACACAGCTTCCCAGAAAATAACTAAGGGGACCACCCTGCGCACCTGAAGGGCAGCGTCCCTCTGGGGGGAAAAAAAATCCCATTCCTCACGCCAGGCGAGGCTCGTATTTCTTACCGAAGACACTGCCTGGCTTGGGGCTGTCGGGGAAGGCCTCGTGGGGATGAAATCTTTCTGGAATAAAACAGAATGAAGAGAGAAAATTACTGGTGTTCCAGAAGGGCAGACACAGGTGCTCGGAGACCTCCTGTGAGGAATGGAAATGCGAATGACTGTGCTGCTTTGCAAATGCAAAAGTGAACTGAGGATAATTCCAACGGGATGGCAAGGAATTACCCCGAAAACAAATCATTAAATTGTTGCTTTAGCCATTTGCTGCGTGACTACTGCCTGAGGGCACCGCCTTGTTTCCCCGCTGGAAGGAGAGGCTACCCAGCATTTCAACAAAGCCCCTCAAAGTCCTCATGAATATTCATTTCCCCACAACAAAGCCTGACCCCGCTGATTGGCAGAACCGTATCTGGGGACACTCTCAGACAGAGGAGGGTGTGCCCTGGGGGCTGGAAGGGGTGGAGGAGAGGGAGAAGGAAAGGGCAGGGCCCCTCTCTGCCTGTCCAGGTTCACAGCCCACCCTGCCTCTCGGACAAGGCAGTTTCACAAAGAGAACAGAGAGGCCACGGGGACCCACGCTTCTCTCAAACACAGAGTGCTTCGCAAATGCCCACTGGAGGGACAGGCCAGTGGACTGGAGGGTTCAAGGTCAGGCCCTTGGATGGAGCAGGGCTTCACAGGGTTCGGCAGCAGATGAGCAGCGAGCCTGGGGCAGTGCAAGCAGAGGGACTCCGCTAGGGTGGCTCAGTGCATTGAGTGCTGGCCTGCGAACCAATGGGTCACCAGTTTGATTCCCAGTCAGGGCACCTGCCTGGGTTGTGGCCAGGTCCCCAGTAGGGGGCGTGTGAGAGGCAACCACACATAGATGTTTTTCTCCCTCTCTTTCTCCCTCCCTTTAAAAAATAAATAAATATTTAAAAAATAAAAAAGAGGGGGACTTACTGGTCTTAAATATCACGCCCCACTGCCGCTTCTCCCACCTCTCACTCGCCTGAAGAGGAGTAAGTTATAGAGGAATCTGGGCTCCTTTCAAAACCCGGGGGGCTGGTTTGCTGGGAACTAAGAGCCAAGAGCATTTCACAGACAGTTGTGTCTGCCCGGAAGCCCGCCTTCATCTGTGCGCATGTCACAGGGGACTGTGTCGTGCTTTGGGACAAGGGACCAGCATTGTGCTTGCTGTTGGCCTGGGCAGACAGCAGACTCTGGGTTGTCACTTGCCAAGCGGAGCCTGACAATTGCTCCTATGCCCCTGGACAGACATTTCTAGCAGACGGTTTTAATTATGGAATTTGGGGGCGTCCCCTTGCACCTGGGTGCAGCCAAGAGGGAGGCCCCAAATAGGGATTGGAATGAGGTCCAGAACTCAAGGTGTCCAGGAAATATTAGAAAGTATTAGAAATATATAGGATGTCCTCACCGTCCCCCCACCACCCCCACAGGTGTGAGTTGGGGGAAGGGACACATGGAGCAGGGCCACTGAGAGCTGTTCTGCATAGCAACAGCCTTGCAGCTAACCTCTGGTGTGGTCATTTAACATGTCTATAACCTTTCACTGGTTTCATGGATATGTTAAATAGCTGTGGCTGTGCTTTGAGCCAGAAAGAAGGGAGTGGCTTCCACTCAAGACGTCCATAGGCTCAAGTGGGTCAGACAGAAAAACGCTGTCCTCCTTGGGCAACTGTCCAGCTCCGGGCAGCTGTGACCAAGAAGGGCAGCAGGGACCAGCCCGGAAGCCTGGATCCCCCAGTGCTTACGCGCACGCCCACCTGCCCGGAGTCCAGCTCCCCCTCTGCCCCCGGAGCCCCGAGCCCGTCTGTGGGCCTGCCTGCTTCCCCCCGGGGCTGCCGCCTCAGAGGAAGGAGCCAGCTCTTCCTCCACTGGCCCTCCGTCTGTAGGTCCCCCAAAAGGACAGAGTCCCATCCTCTGTAGCCCGAGCAGCCCCCAGGCGTCGGAGGCCCCCTGCAAACACGCGAAATCCCCGGACGGCTCTGGGAGGAGAGCAGGCGCCGCGCCCTGCACAAGGCTCTCCCACACGCAGTGGTGGGCCCACATCTGAACTCACTCCACGCGTGGCTTTGACGTGTTTGTGTATCAGTGGGCGTCACACACGCACCCCTGCTGGCCAGCAGGGGAATCAGGGCTCTGGGTCCCTGTCCCCCCCCCCCCCCCCCCGTTAGCATTCTTTTCAAGCTTGTCCTCTCTAATTTCCCTGAGGCAGCAGCAGTTTAACTCAAGGCCAAGGGCACTACCACTCAGGCCCAGCACCACTTTTTATTTTCTCCAAAGGAAAGGAGGACTTTTCTGGGCTGCAGTGTCCTCTCCCACCCTCTTTGTTCCAGCAAGGTCATGTTAGTTTGATGGCCTGTGTCTCTATAGGAACTCAGACACATGAAAAGGCCCTTCAGGGTCACCTGTGGTCGCCCCACTTTGCAGGTTTGCTCCCTCCCTGCTACCGAAATGAACCCAGAAAAGCAAACACGGCTCGGAACATGGGGCTCTCCTCAGCCACGACGGCCTGGCCACACCCCCTGCTGCCCAGAGGACATGTCCTCATCCTGCTCCTACGCCCTCCAGATGCATCGAGGGCCAGCTCACGTCCCCTCTCGACACACACTCCAAAGCCTGCTCCTCTGGTGATGCACAATTATTTGGGGAATAATCTCCCAATCTGTATCAATCTCCAGGCTGGAAAATAGGGACACAGGTCTCCCCACTTACTGATGCATTCATCGGTTGATTATTGTTTGTGCCCCGACCGGGGATCGAACCCACACCCTTGGTGCATCAGGATGATGCCTCCGCCCACCGAGCCACCCAGCCAGCGCCCATGGGTGTATTTTACACCCTCACAATTCCCAGGGCAGTCGAAGCCCCTCCCGGATCACACCCCTTGTCTCCCCCACACAGGTAGCTCTTGCTGCGGTTGGCGTGTTTATAACTCACTGTGCTTGTGGGTTTTCCTGCACCTGTTACTTCTGCACGTGCCGATGATATCGAACTGCGTGTGTTTTTCTGAAACTCGCTGTCTCCCCCCTCACGTTGCCTTTGTGAGGCTCACGCACGTGAAAATGCAGCTGCGGTTTGCGGCTCTTTGCCTCCGGGTGCTATTTCAACGCAGGAACGTGCAGCTACTTCCTGTCCCTGGGTGGTCACACGGTCCCCACTTTCTCGCCGGTACAGCCGGCGAGGCAAGGGACACCTGTGTGTGTCTCTGCGTGGCCAAGAGCCAGAGGTGCCCAGAATATCTGTCAAGGATCAGAACTGTTGGGAACAGCGCATGCACCTCTTCACACTTATTGAAAGTGACAAATCGTTTTCCCAAGTGGGGGTAATAACACACGTCCCCCATTTTTTTCCAGGTATTTATTCCTCTGCGCATCACCACCTCACACCCTTCACGTCATCGTTTGGTCTCCTTATGTGTCAGTCTGAGCCTTCCAGTGGCGCAAGTATTACAAATGCCTCCCCACCTCCCCCATTAAGCCCCTGCAGGGGCTTGTGTGACCTGCTCTCCCCAGTCCCACCTCGCCACTTCTGTCTTCCTCTGTCGCCCACAAACAAGTTACTTCATCCAGCCCACAACCCACGAGAGGGGGCGTTCGCCTCCACGTTTTGAAGGCAGTGTCCCATGACCTGTGGACACGTTTTAAGATTTTTCTTATTCACCGTGGTCAGAAGGCCACCAGGGCGGACGGCGTCCATGCCACGTGTCCTGTGACAGGTACTGCTTCACAGATGGGCCCTTTAGTCCTCCCAGGGCCACTGTGGGCCGTGGCAGTCCCATTTCGTGGGTGTGGAAATGGGGAACCTGCCCGTCGTTCGGACCACACAGGAAGCGCTGGAGCTGCCACGCGGCCTCGATGCTCAGTCAGCACCGCGGAGAGCTCCACACGCTCCGCCCAGGCCGCCAACAGCCCCGGGAAGCCCCTCTCCACGTGGTCCCTCCAGCCTGATGCCTTGCCCTCAGGTGACGGTGGCCTGGGCCGGGATCATCCCGCGGGGCTGCCCCAGGACCCCTCACCCAGCGGTTCTACGCACAAGATCATAAATGTTGATCGTTTTCCGCCACCAAGTCACACAGGAAGCAAACCCAGGCAGTAAATAAGCGTCTCCGCCTTAAGCAGGTTGTGGGTGCGTACTATTCATTCTACCTCCCGGTGTACGGCCAATATTTTAAGATAAAGTTTAACCCAAAAGCCCTGGCTCAGGTCAACAGTCTGGTTGGCTGTCACAAATGGTGGATAGTGAGATGGGGACACACAGGACAGGCCTGCATGTCACCCCTGTGGGTGACCAGTGGTGGCTTCGCCCCTTCGGGACACATGAACTTTGGAGAGGCCTGTCGAAGGGGTGCAGTCACGGGAAGAGGGGCAGAAGGAGCGACTCCAGTCACACACTGGACGAGGGAGACTTTTCAGACTAAGACAGTGCGGGCCTGCGTCTGACAGGCAGTCCCTGGTGGGCCTGGCAGGTGGGTGTGTGGCCGGGTGCGGTGCGGCAGCACCCAGGGTGACCCACCCCTCAACTGCTCTTCCTGCCCCGAGGCCTTCAGGCAAGGGCGGGGCTGCCCGGGAGGCAGGGCCTGGTCCACACCACGTCTGTCTGTCTGTCTGTCTGGCTGGCTCCTATCTCCTTCAGGTTCCAGAAAGAGCAAGAGCGCCTTCCAAGTCCTAACGGTAGCTGAGCTGGTCCGAGTCGGCTGACCCAGCCGGAACCAGGAAGGTCCGGCAGAGCTGGCCTCTGTCAGCCCTGAACAGCCACCATGGAACCAGTGACAGTTAAGGCGACTTCTGTTCAATCCTCTTTAGGAGCTGAAGCCCAAAATAGCGCCACATGTGCTGTTGTCCTCAGTTTACTGGGTCAGAAAAGGATGTGTCCCAAAGCCACTTTAACTGAAACAATCACTTCTCTTGCCCTGCAGTGACAGCTGAGGCAACAGTAATGCCTCAGGTATTCCAAGCCGCTCTCCTTTCTTTTTTTTAAATATCCTCACCCAGAGACATGCTCATAGACTGGAGAGGGAGGGGGAGGGGAGGGGAACGCTGATGTGAAAGAGAAACCTG